TTTTTTGAAAATATATATTAGGAAATATGTGCAATGATTTAACTTTTTGAGCTCCTAATCTATATTATTCAGCCCTCATTAAGCCATCCACGTATGCACCCACGTGGAATTCCATTTTTTTTTGTTTTTTTTTGTTTGTTCGTTTTGGATTTATTTTTTATTATTTTTGAGTTGAGCTATATTATAATAGGATAGTTTTAAGGTTCTTTAAGCCATCCGCGTAGGCAACCACGTGAGACTTGTTTTTTTTTTGTTTTTTGTTTTATTATTCGTTTTGGATTCATTTTTATTTTGGGTTTGAACTTATTAAGGTTTAGGGTTTATACAACTATTTTGATCTTTAAAACAAAAAGTCCATATGATAATAACCTAAATAAAAAAAATCAAAAATACATGATAGCTGTGTGGTTTGAACCCACAATCTTGAATACTTAATTAGACACCTTATACCACTTGGCTAAAGTGTATTTCATTGTTTGTGACCATCTTACCAAGACTATGTGTTTTTAAAAAATATTTTTATGATGATGACATTAATTAGTTTATGCATGAGAGCAGTGGGAATTGAACCCATGTCCTTGGAGACAAAACATGGGGTCTTAGACCACTTGGCTAAACTGATATTCTTTGTTTGTAATTATTTTAAAAATACTATATATTTTAATATAAAAATGTGGGACCTACAATCTGCCTATGTGGACACCTTAAGGAGCCTTTAAACTCAATCATTATAATATAGATTATGAGCTTACGTGAAATCCCTACTTATTTATACGACAAAGAAACATTTAATACTATTAATTTTTTTTTAATGGTTTTTGTTATTTTTCTATAAATTTATATTTTTATATTGATGAAAATAAAAACACATTCAAATAAAAGAATTTTTTTTTCGACATTTTCCATTATATTTTTGTATAAATAATATATACTTTTATTGAAAATGGGCCTTTAGCTATTAAGATATTGAGAACACGAGATGGATCCAGGGTGGTTGCACTATTTGTCCTACATTTAAGCCCGGCACTGAAACCGTTTCCAGTTCCTTGCTATATTTATCTCTAAAACCATTTTCAAACCACCTCTAATTTAGAGATTTTTATTATAGACGAAAAAAATATAGATACGGTTTTTCCTCTATATTAGAGGAATACTATAGTTGTCTCTATAAATCGAAAAATGTTATTTACCTCTATATTGGGAGGAAAAAATAGCATTTCTCTATTTATAGAGACAAATATAACATTTCTCTATTATAGAGAAATACATCGGAGTAAAAACACATTTCTATTGTTTTTCTCTATAACATAGTTTTCTAAAATAGAATTGGGGTGGATACGCTTTAACGCTATAACATAGGAAAATGTGCTCCAATCCATCTCTATTTTTCGTTTATTATAGAGCTATACTCTTTTATTTTATTTTTTTTAAATAATCTTTTAATTTTCAAACTTTAATAATTATAAGCTCCAACAATCATTTTATAGGGAGATGCAGTTTTTATAAAAACAGAATCATATTTTTACTTGCCTAATAATATTTTAAGAAAACTTTAATTTAAACAAAATCATTATTTTGTGAAATACATTGGAGAGAAACACATTTCTATTGTTTTTCTCTATAACATAGTTTTCTAAAATAGAATTGGGGTGGATACGCTTTAACGCTATAACATAGGAAAATGTGCTCCAATCCATCTCTATTTTTCGTTTATTATAGAGTCATACTCTTTTATTTTCAAAAAAAAAGTCTTTTAACTTTCAAACTTTAATAATTATAAGCTACAACAATCATTTTATAGGGAGATGCAGTTTTTATAAAAACAGAATCATATTTTTACTTGCCTAATAATATTTTAAGAAAACTTTAATTTAAACAAAATCATACTTTTGTGAAATACATTGGAGAGAAACACATTTCTATCTTATGAATTACTCTGTAGGTAAAAATAGAATAATAAATTGGAGATGGTCTGAATAAACTCACCTGAGTCGGCAACAGTGTGTCTGTGGGATTATCAAAGCTCGACCACAAATCATTACTGGAGTCTTTGCTCAACAAGCGGAAGTTTCCGGCGTCTGTCATGCGCCCTTGGTAAACAGAGCCGTTACTCGGATTCAGTGAAGAACTCCAGAGCCGTTGACCTCGAGGGTCAGCGAGAACCAAACCGTGATCTGAGGTTAGTGTAACCTTGGAACCAGTAGGGACAAGACCACTAGTTGTGTTGACATCTTGTGCGTGCCACACGATGGTTTTGTTGGGAATCTTGTCGAATCATATGGATAGAGTGAAACCATCGTTTGGTTGGATCTTGCGGAACCCTAAGGCAAAGTCACCGGAAGGGCAAAGCCATGAACTGGAGAACTGTTGAGAATCTGAAGCCGTGAGAGATTCTCCGACAGGAACAGATCCGTTGATGATGTTTTGAGACAAAACGACAAGTACTTGTAGTTCCAGAACGAGAACAAGCCGGAGTATCGAGCAAGAGAGGTAAACCATTTTGGTAAGGACAGATCTTGATATTACATGTGTTTTATATATAGGTTTACATTAATAATATATATAATAGATAAGTTGATTTGTTCGTAATTACTTAACGTAGAATAAGGTTTGAAGAAGTTTTTTTGAATGCTTTTTGGTTTTGAGTCAAGAGAGTTGGTTTTGAAGAGTCATCTGAATCTTTCCCCCATACATTTTTGAATGCGTGTTCTACAGTCTTATAATGTTTGCAATAAAAGTGTAGTTATTTTCGTTGTGGTAGGACATTTCTGAATTTAAAACGAAGACTTTTCTTTCCTTGGGTTAATTTGGCTTTTGGACGGCAAAATGACAATTAATCTTTTTTGTCAACAAAAATAATTAATTATTTTTTCGTTATAATTTCGGATGTTGAATCCAATGTTTTTGCTATTCTAATGCATCCACTTGACATACAATGATTGATATTTCAAAAATAGAAATTTTCCTATGTTCTTTTTAATTAGGTACATTTTAGCAGTTGTACCACCAAGAACTTATTTTAAAAATGTAAGATAAAACGAAAAAGTCCTTGGTAAACATTGTCTTTTAACAACATGTGTTTATATTGCGATTATTATAGTATGTGTATACATTGCGAAAGTAAATGAGTATATATTGTTAAGATTACATAGTTTTACAAGTTTCATCTTCATTCTCTTCTTGATCTGCACAGAAAAAAAATTCTGTCAGACAAATTGTGCTGTAAAGTATATTTGGTAATTGTACTTAGAGTAACGATTACAATGCTTATATAAACAATACTCATTGCTATAACCCTAAAGCAAAGTCACTGGAAGAGAAATATCAGAGATATATATTGGATAACAAGTCATGTTTTCCAATAATCTCTAATAGAGAACGCCATGACTTAGAAATATAAACAAAAAATAGACGTGTATAATATGATTGAAAAAAATTATAATTGGGATAGAAACATAAGAGACAACAAATAAGGGGGGGGGGGGAATATGGAAAAAGGGGTTCACATGAATGTTTGAATAATCAAATAAGGTGTCAAAAGACAGGTATTTTCCATCTCCTCTACCAAAACTATTAGTACAATTCTTATGTTAATAACTTTTTTGTTATTTGAAAAATAGAATGATAATTCAAAAGACAGATGCATTCATTTTTTAGTCTAAAATTCTTTTATTTTATATAGCCGAAGACAATAATAGAGAAGTTGATAGGGTACATCACTTTGAGATAATTAAAACAAGTTTTTGAGAAACGCAACTAAATTATTAGAAAATATGATCTAACAAATACGATTTCAAAAGAAATCAATGATGAAGTTCATACTGAAATTAGGTTAGATTTTTGCCAATAAATTGATACGGAAATGATCTTATTCATCACATTTAACAATTTTAATAATTTTCCGCATCATAATGGGCTGTATTTACGTTCATACACGATAAAAGATTTTTAGATAAAGATATTTCTTTTGGTTTTGATATAAAAAAAAACAAAAATAGATATTTCTTTTGGTTAAATCTGTTTTGAAAAGTCTTTTAAAGAAGTTTACTCTATAAATCGTTGAATAATCTACCATAGTATATTTCCAAGAGTGAATTTGGTAGAAACTCAAAATAAAGAGTGAAATTAGGAAAATATTTTTGATAGGATATGTTGGTGTCTATGAACAAAGGTATCATGGAGGGGGATTAGGGGTATGTAGATTTTTTTTTTGAACAACAAACGATTATATTAAATCTAAAGAGTTTAAACTATTACATCCGGAGCAAGCTCGACGGTAATAAGATAATAACCGGAGAGTTCTTCAACAGTTTGATGAACAACAAACATTAAAACAACCAGACAAGAAATAACAAAGATGAGTAGAGATACTTGCTCGACAATCGGAGAATCATGGGAAATCATCAGATGGACCCCTGAGAAGGTTACTACCACGAGCTTGAGATAGTCAGAATCGACGTTGATTAAACCAACCAGCAAAGCATGGAAGGAAGCGGAACGAGCAAGAACAGCTCTAGCTCCGACGAAACTCCCCGAAGAGACAAGGTGAATCTCAATTGGTAAGGAGAGTAAAAGGATCTTGGATTTGGCGCTGACGAAAAAAATAGATAACCATGCAACCGGATAATGCTAGTTACAATAACATAGTAACTACACACTTTGCTGACATGTGATTGCTGAACAAATATAATATTTAACTTAAACACAATATCACTGCTTTGGGCTAGGTGAACCCTGGTCGTAACGGTTGAACAATCTGAGAAAGATATCTTCATAGAGACTCTGAAACTAATGGATTTTTGTGGCGGAGTGGACATTGAACTCAGTCCTACACTTCGGACCTCGACATTACCGTGTCGGGACCAATAAGGTATTACCAAAATACATCTGACCAAACAATCGACAAGACCAAATGAACTGAACGTGCTTGAGTCTTTGTTGGGTGACGGGAACAGAGCATCGGGTGTTGACCGTATAAAAACTCCAGCGAACAGTGACGGAACTAATCCACCACATCCGGTTGGACTCGTCGGTGTAAACCAGAACCCCTGAAGGTTTCGTTGCTGCGGACCCGGCTTGGATCTGGAAGAATATCTACTTGAGAGTGTTGAAGGAGTCAACACGATGGATATGAGAAGGTAGGAAATAGTAGATCTGGGAGGCACTTTAGATCTACACAGACTGCTAGATATGGCGAGCTCAAGCTCGGGATAAGTAGATCTGGTGGTTGTGTTTCCACAGGGAGGAGCAGCGCCTTTTATCGAGCAGACTGTTCTGGACTCCTTAGTAGTAGCAAAACGTGAAGAGAAGCAGGCGAGAGAGTTTATGGCGGGGACGTGGAGGAGAGGAACGTCTGGAGGGTCTGGTTGTTCCGGAGGGATGACAGGAGAGAGAGCTTCAAGCGGAACCTTCAAACACCACGACGGCGGCAGATCTGGAGGTGGCTGGAGACATGACGGAGGAGTAGACACCATCTTGGCCATGGAGAGAAGCAGAACAACTTAAGAGGGAGGAAGAAAAACCAGCGTTTCTGTAGCAGGGGAGATCCATAGAGGCGCCTTACATGTTGTGTAACCAGGATCCAAAATAAGTCAGGATATATAGTTAATTATGAGGTTTTGTAGCTGAGTACAAATACTCTATTTCCAATTATAAAAACTGGAGGGAAATAAAAATATTCCCTGAAACATTAAAAACAACTTGAATGAAACGTTGTAAAAAAAAAAAAAAAACTTGAATGAAACCATAATAATAATAATAAAATATTAGAAGTGAAGTCACATCGTTTTGGTGCTGCGACCAGCATGTACACAAAAGCCGCCGGAATGGACATTCATCTAGTAAAATGTATTTAAAGGTATCATTTTAATGATTATTATTATTATTTTTTTTTTTATCAATAATGATTACTCTCTCCGTTTCACTTTAGTTGTCATTCTAGGTTTTTGCACACAGATTAAGGAAACATTTAATTTTATATATTTTCAAGATAAAAACACAATTACCTATACACCTAACCACTTTTCAACCAATAGAAAAATAATATATCATATAAACCTAATAAATTTTGTCTCGAAACTTTAAAACGACACTTATTTTGAAACGAATTTCTCTCTAGAATGACATCTAGTTCGAAACGGAGGGAGTATTATTTTTTATGTTTCAAACAAAAAAGTATCATTTTAGTAATTTGCAAATTCCCGAAATTATTTTAGCATTGCTCTCTTATGTATATTTTGTACAAGCCTTTTCCTTTTTTCTACAAAAATCATAATAACCATTTGTGCCACGCGGTACCTTGCCTTGACAACTTTAAAACGCACCATACTGAGCAGATTACAATAAGAGTAAATTTGATCAAAGTTGATTAACAAAATTTGTATGAATTTAACATAAACCCATAATTAAAAGGGCATACTTTCTACCAAAATGTTATTTCAAAAACAAAAATATTCTGATTACTTCTTATATTATTCCATCAAAAGTATTTTAATTAAACACAATATTATATTTGGTTTAGGGCAGTAAAATGTTGTCACCGCTCTGAGTAGATGTTCTAACTTCTAAGTATTTAAACTTTTAACCTACGTAGCTTGTGGAGTTGTGACTTATTTATTTATTGAAACAAGAATAACATCATGTTGACTTCTTGTGTATATGTTTTAGGCCACATTTCCAACATAAATAACTATAGTCGAGTGTCAATAATAACATCATGTTGAATTTTGTTTCAGTTGGAATCTTGCTTTTTCAATATTGTTGTTTTTTGGACTTTTGAACGTTTCCATTCATTTTTTAATTTGACATCTTTATTTTTCTTTTGTTGTGAATGAAAAAAAATTCTTGTTTTCTATTTATATCATGTTGTTGCTAAGATTTTATTTATGTTTTGTGCTAGGTACGTAAGAATAGCAAATAATAATATATAGTTCTTAAAACTTATATATTATAGTTAAATTTCAATTATTCTAATGCTCATCTGAATTTTATAAATAAAGCTAAACCAGTATATTAATTTATGTATTCAAAAAGGAAATTATTTTTATATGTATATAAATAATTAAGTATATTTTAAGTTGACACATAAGCACCGGTTAAAAATATGGTTTAGTCAACCAAATTATCGGGATGTCACTGATTTTGCCAATGCATGCCACATAAAAAAAAATCAGAATGTCAGTTTCACTTAACAAAACAAAACATAAGTTGATGTATAAGTTAAAACCAACTTGTTTAAACAAAGAAAAGGAAATGACTAATTTATTTTAACAAGGGAGAATTTGAAGAGAAACATCCAAATAACTGAAAAGAAACATTTATGTATTTTTCAGTTAACATATCGTTTTTAAATTTCCTTTTTTCTAAACAATCCTAACTGTTGAAAAATAATCGTCCATTATATTCTCTCTGTTTCAATTTATTTGTCATTGTAGAGAAATAAATTATTTTAAAATAAATGTAATTTTATAACAACGGTCGGTTCGTTAATTTTCCAAAGCTTTAAATTCATGTTTATTGACTTTGTAATCACCACATGACCTTTCCCGTACTTTAGTTTCACTTACACGATATTGCAAATCACTTCCCGATGGTCACCCATCCTTTGATTACTCCAGCTCAAACACGCTTAACTTTGAAATTCTCTCTGAATATGCTCCCGAAAAAATAAGTACACTTTGGTGACATATTGATAAAATCAATCATCTTAAACCTTTTCATATATCACAACTCGGGATATTACAGTTACCTTATCAGGTTTTGATTTACTTTGTTTTTAGATGTGTTTTAGTTTGTTTTGGATTTTACACGTCAAATTTTATAAGATTATTTTAAATCATTTAAGCTTTATCAGTGTTTACACTTCCGGCGATCTAGATGTTGATCACTTAGCTTCAACGGTGATTCATGGAGGAAGGATATACAAGTGGTTTATTGAGAAATAGGCTGGATTCTGAAGCTTCTGAAACAAAGTGCTCGGTGCTTCAGGTTGGTGATTGTTTCAGCCAATTCTCACATGGTTTCACGTGTCACCATGTGTTATCCTTATCTCTTTACATTGTGAAACACGTGTTTGACGTCTTTAACCTGTACCACCGTTCATGAATTTATTAAGAACTCATGACCAGTACTAGGTATTAGCCTATTAGGTAGACATGCTCGACAGACTTATCGACTGACAATATTATACAAAATTAGAAGACGTGTATCCTAGTCCTAAAGATAATTTTTTTTTTTTTAATGGCAGTTAGAGTTTTGATCAGAATACTATTATGTCTCCTTTTCTCTCTCTCTGTCTCTTGTTATATAAGAGCACCTCTATATACTATGTAATCTGTGCGACAGAGTAAAAGAACACCCATTGTTCTTATTTTAGAAACCCGTTATATAATGATAACATGTTCACGTGTTCCTCGTCATAAGAGTGTTTCAGTGAATACAATCGTCAAGTGTATTTTTGGTTTTGATCAAACGCTCTATGCAATTCTCTTAGACATCTTTTTCGATCTCTTTTCTTTATTTTCTTTCTTTTAAAGATAAAAATCTTTTTTTTCTTGTTAATTTCTCTTAAGTAAACAATGAACTAAAGAGTTATTCTTCCTTGAGTAGTTCTCTAGCTAGGATTTCAATTGGGTTTTATATAATAAATACATAAATAAAATAAGAAATTAAGAAGAATAACCAGAGATGGTGAGAACACCATGCTGCAAAGCAGAAGGAATAAGAAAAGGAGCTTGGACTCGTGAAGAAGATGAAAAGCTTACTGCTTATGTTCAACTACATGGTGAAAGTGGATGGCGTACTCTCCCGGAGAAAGCTGGTTATTTTGATAATTTCCTTATTGTTTATTGATTAGGAATTCAATATTTTTTTTTTCATTAGGAATTCAATATGATTAGTTAACAACTCATATCCTCTTAATTATATATGTATTTATTAACAACATGTGTACAATATGTATATAGGATTGGAGAGATGTGGTAAGAGTTGTAGACTTAGATGGGCTAATTATCTAGATCCCGACATCAAGAGAGGAGAGTTTACTTCTGAAGAAGACGACATTATTATCAAGCTTCATGCTCGTATGGGTAACAAGTAAGAAGACGTTGCTTATTATTACTTTTGTATTATATTAGTAATTTGGTACTACAATCTTTACAAAATTTAATGGTGTTTTTCTTCTTCTGAATGTCACAATTGTTACATGTAAATAAATAAATAATACGCTCTCTATTTCACAAATAGTGTTATTTTGTCGTTTTTTTCTCACACAAAAGGGATTTTTTAAAATTTCAGTGCATTTTCTACTTAGTTTATCTAAAATACTATCTGTTAAATTATTGTAATTAATAGATAATAATTGATTTCAATCGATTTTTCAATTTGTGTGAAAATGTCAAATATATTTTTACATAATATAAGGATGTATAAAAGGAAAATTTGTCCTAATAAAAACAACCAAAGTTTATTAAGTAATCAAAAATACATTATCTTTTCAACTTTCTTTTCCTATCCCTCTCTTCTCTTTATTCTTTCTACAAAACCAATCTCTCTTTTTTGCTTAGTACACAACTAAGTCCTAAAACTATGAAGTTAGTATTGCTCAATTTTCTAATTATTGGGGAAACCATCAATTTTTTTCTTCTTCTAAATGTCACATTGATTACATAATGTAACATAAATATATAGATCAAATTTTTATTATAACTTTTTGAAACAAAGTATACAATTGGAGTATAACATTTCTTATGGTATTATTGCTAAAGGTGGTCCGCAATAGCAACTAGCTTGCCGGGACGAACTGACAACGCGATTAAAAATTATTGGAACGCATATCTCAAAAAGCGTTTAAAACGAAAAGGTATCGATCCAATCACTCATAAACCGATCAATCCAACCGACCAAACCGGTTTCCAACCAAAAAAACATAAACTCGGTTCAACCGGTTCCGCAAAACTTCTTAACCACGTCGCAAGGAAATACGCGAGAGATTTAAACCGGGATCTACTAACCGGAATCATCATCGCCGATGGTTCACAAAACTCCGTCCAGGTCGATTCTCTGACTAAAACCTCGACCTCCACATTGCTCAACAAAGCGGCGGCAAGATCAAGTGCTCTCACATCGTTTCTTACCAACAATATGTCCCCATCTCCCGGTCTTTCCGACAATCTTGACCTATTCTTTAGCAACGAAGAGATCTCTGGTATGTATCCGAATGTTGATAACGTTGGTGGCATTATGGAAGAGTTAAAGGCTATTTTAAGCCATGCTGACGTCGGAGATGTTAAAGACTTGCTGGAGTTTAATGTAGGTGATGAGATGGAGTTTCTTGATTCTTGGAAGTTGGAACGAAGAAGATGATTTGGACTTATTGAATTATTATTGGGTACGTTAGATTGGTGTCTTAGTCTGACAAGTGACGAGTCATAATAAAATAAAATCAATTACACGTTGGTTACTTCTTTAGTTGATGTATTTGCGCACGGGATCCGTCACTTGGCGGAAATAATGAGCGTGTGTTGTAATAAAAATAAACAATAAAATAAGTTTTTTATTTTCCGAGTCATTTTAAAAAAATTATATAACTATACATTTGTTTTTAAATTTCATATAGAAACGTGAAAAACTGTTCTCTATAGAAAAATGACTAACAGTACTACTACTTCGTTTCGCAAAAAGATTGTTTTAGTTTCAAAAAAGTATTGTTTTAAAATTTTACTTTTATTTCACAAAGTGTCATTTTATATTCTTAACACAAAAACGTTTGGTAAAATTCAGTTTTATTATTATTGTTTCTTCTACCAAATATTCGCTTTATTGTTATATTTTAGAAAAAAAATATTTAAGGTGTATATGCTATTCCTGTTATCTTGTATGACAACCATAACATGGGTCATCCACGATGGCTACTTTTTGGTGCAGATTCTCGTGGACGCATAATCCTTTTAGTTTTTATTTTTACATATACTCTTGTTTTGAATGACTTTTTAATTTTTTCACATAAAACAACCTTGTTACAAGCAATATTACTATTAGTCAAGTTAGGTTGTTTGGAGACCTCCTACTCGACGAGAGTTACTGGTGCATAGATTGTGGTTTGAAAACTATATCGAAGAAGGAAATTAGTAGTCGTTTTATCTTGGAGACCATTAATCAAACCATGCAGCAAAATCTCCCATTGAACTGATACAGCCGCACCAATTAGATTACCAATAACCCCGAGTCACATTTCTTTAGCACATGAACAAGCAAAATACAAGTGATCTCTTGTTTCAGTAGGTGAGTTACAGACAGTAGCGGTCCTGGGCAGAAGCATTACAAGCATCTGCTTCCGGCCCTTAAAATAAAATAAAGTTTTCGGCCTTTTTTCTCAAAAATTATTATAGTTCGGATGGTTAAATAGCATGTGTTTCTTCTATAGGTAGCAATTTCAAATCCCATATGATGGCCTTTTTTTGTGCGAAACTTCTGGCCTTTATTTTTTTTTAATTTTTCAGGACCGGACCTGATTACAGAACCAACAGCTAGCTATGGTTTGTGGGTTCATTTAGAGCCAGGCCTGAGTTAATGGTGGCTCCATTACAATTTTTTTTCTTAATTTTGTTTTCATAATATTATAAACAACATATAAATTCAAAATTGAGAAACTAAAAACTAAAAAAGTTTCAACAAATTATTACTTTATAAAACATTTGGACTGCTGTCGAACTTGATGAATATTTCAAATTAACAAAAGAACGATATTTACATGTGCCGAAATTAAAAGGATTATTACACGGAAAGTAAAATAGATATGCCTTTCATGGTACTATTTTAACCAATACCACGGCCAAATTATTATAAGAAAATTCTGCTTCAACTCTTCCGTGATATTAGTTATCGTTTCTTTAGAAAAAAATAATAATGTGAAGATAGCGACATTATAGGATATATATATATATATATATATATATATGTTTTACTAATACTTGTTGCATTTTCTTCTTCTACTAACCAAAAGGTTAATCAGTTTGAAAATAAAATATAGAAAACATTGAAGTGCACGTTTTTGGAAAGTCTAATAAGCTAACCAGCTTAGTTGGATGTCAGCATTAGGTTAGTCAGCATATATTTGGTTTGACGTTTTCTCCGACACTTGTTGGGGTGTGCCCACAATGAATTTCAAGCCGACCAAACACAATTATCTAAAGTTTTCTTTATTTTAGAAAAAGGTAATAATTCTCGGAGAATTTGAAGGAAAATGTTTCTCTATCAAAGAATCTTGAAAAAAATCCAATTAAAGAGAAATTTTCTAAAACCAAATGAGTAGAACATTTTTTTCACAAATATCGATCTTCCCACACGCTTGACATAATATGGAGAATAAAGAGGGTTGTACCTTAGGTGTTTCCGTTTCTCTAAAAAATAGATATTTTATAGGGATTAATCCATTTATTAAATTGTATATGAATTTTAAATAAATTACTCACTAAAAATTTATATAAGATGCCATGTACCATGAAAATAAATTTAAAATATATATATATATATATATAAATTTTAAGTGTAATTAGGTATTTCTAAAACAACACTAAATAGGCTAAATAGTATAGATAGTATTTATCAAAATAGTATAGATAATATGAAATTATTTTTTAATGTATAGATGCATCATGCACTAGCAAAGTATAAATATTAAATATGTTTGAGACCTTAGGTGTTCCTATTTCTCTAGAAAATAGAGATTTTGTAGGGATTAATACACTAATTAAATCGTATGAAGTTTAAAAAAGTTATTCGTTGGAAAATTAAAAATGATACCCATGTACCATCAAAATATGTTTAGCATGAATTAAATGAATTAGAGTGTGGTTAGTTATTTTTTAAAAAAATATTAATGAGGTTAAACTTTATTATATATAACATTTATCGGAAAAAAACTAGATCTTTTCGTAAGAAAATTAGAAAATATGATATTTTATTTTGATGTATAATTTCATCATGCAGTGACATGTGATGAATATTAAAGAGGTCCGAAACCTTATTTGTCTATGTTTCCATAGAAATTATATTTTTATAGGGGTTAGTCCACATAATTAACTGGTAGCTGGAATATGAAGTTTTATTAAATTACTCATTAAAATATTATAAATGATGCCCATGTATCATGAAAATAAGTTTTACATACATCAATAAAAATGTATAATGTTATTAGGTATTTTTAAATCAACATGAAACAGATGAAACTTATATATAGCATTTATCGAAAAACTCGATCTTTTTATAAGGGTTAACCCACATGTTTCAAAATAAATTATAAAATACAGTATTTGTTTTTTAATGAATAGATGCATCCAGCACAAATATAGCATGAAGATTATGGATGTCTAACACTTTTTTGTCCCAATTTCCCTAGAATATAGAGATTTCGTAGGGTTTAGTTCTTTGATTTACGTAGTATATGAAGTTTTATTAAATTACTCGATGGAAAATTGTAACTAATGCCCATGTACCATGAAAATAAATTAGGATAAATTATTATAAATTTTTATTGTGGTTAGATATTTTAAATGAAACTAAAGAGGCTAAAATTAAGTACAAGTAATATTCATTGAAAATCTTCGATCTTTTCGTAAGAGTACCCACAAATTTCAAAATAAATTAGAAAATTGGAATTTTTGTATTTATGCATAGATACTTTCAAAACTGATATATGATGAATATTAAAGAGTTTTGATACCTTATCTAGCCAAATTTCTCTAGAAAATAGAGATTTTATAGGATTTAATTCATTGATTTTGGTTGTATATGGAGTTTTATTAAATTTCTCGGTTTAAAATTAAGACTGATGTCCTAGACCATGAAAATAAGTTTAGTATATTAATATAAATTTTGAATATTTTCAGGTATTTTTTGAAAAGCTAAAAAGGCTTATATATAACATTTATCAGAAAATTCAATATTTTGTAGGGTTAACCCACATGTTCTAAAATAAATTAGAAAATATCATATTTTTGTTTTAATGAATTTATGTATCATGTACTGGCATAGTATGTAGAATAAGTAGGATTGAGACCATAGGTGTTTCCGTTTCTCAAAAAATAGAGATTTTATGGGGGTTAGTCTACTTATTAGGTTATATATGAAGTTTAAATAAATTACTCATTGGAAAATTATAAAGGATGCCATGTACCATGAAAATAAGTTTATCATACATATATATATATATATATATATATATATATATATAAATTTAGAGTGTGTTTAGGTATTTTCATAACAACACCAAAATGCAAAATAGTATAGATAGTATTAATCAAAAATTCAATCGTTTCGTAGGGATCAACCCACATATTTCAAGAGAAATTAGAAAATATGAAATTTTTGTTTTAATGCATATATGCATCATGAACTGGCATAGTACGAATATTAAATATGTTTGAGACTTTAGGTGTTCTCATTTCCTTAGAAAATGACGATTTTATAGAAGTTAGTACACTAATTAGATCGTATATGAAGTTCAAAGATATTATTCGTTGGAAAATTAGAAATGATGCCCATGCACCATAAAAATGTGTTTAGCAAGAATTAATATGCATTAGAGTGTGGTTAGTTATTTTTTAAAAAAATATTAATGAGGCTAAACTTTAGTATATACAGCATTTATCGGAAAAAAACTTGATCTTTTTCGTAAGATAAATTAGAAAATATGGTATTTTATTTAAATGAATAATTTCATCATGCAGTGACATGTGATGAAAGTTAAAGAGGTCTGAGACCTTATTTGTCCATGTTTCTATAAAAATACATTTTTTATAAGGGTTAGTCTACATAATTAGGTGGAATATGAAATTTTATTAAATTACTCACTAAACTATTAGAATTGATGTCCATGTACCATGAAAATAAGTTTAATATACATTAAAAAATTTATAATGGGACTAGATATTTTTAATCAACATGAAATAGCTTAAACTTCAGTAAATATCATTTATCGGAAAACTCAATATTTTTGTAGAGGTAAACCCACAGAGTTCAAGATAAATTATAAAATACAGTACTTTTCTTTTAAGACATAGATTCATTCAGCACAGATATATGATGAAGGTCAAGGATGTATGACACCCTTTTCCAAATTTATCTAGAATATATAGATTTTATAATGTTTAGTTCTTTTATTTAAGTGGTATATGAAGTTTTATTAAATTACACGTTAGAAAATTATAACTGATGCTCATTTACCTTGAAAATAAATTTATGATACATTACTATAAAACTTTAATTTGGTTAGATATTTTAAACGACATTAAAGAGGCTAAACATAAATACAAATATCATTTATTCGAAAAATTTGATATTTTTGTAGGGGTTAACCCACAGATTTCAATAAATTAGAAAATATGAAATTTTTGTATTTATGCATAGCTGCATCCAACACTAATATATGATGAATATTAGAGACTATGATATCTTAGTTGTCCAAATTTCTCTAGAAATAGAGATTTTATAGGGTTTAGTACATTGATTTTAGTGGTATGTGGAGTTTTATTAAACTTCTTGGTTAAAAATTAAGACTGATGCCCATGAACACAAGTTTAGTAAATTAATATAAATTTTGAATGTGGTTAGTTATATTTAAATAAAACTAAAGAGACTTATATATAACTTTTATCGGAAACCTCAATCTTTTTATAGGGGTATCCACATATTTCAAGATATATTAGAGAATATCATATTATCTTTAATGAATTTTTGCATCATGCACTGAAAAAGTATGGAAAAAAGAGGGTTGAGACTTTAAGTGTTACTTTTTCTCCAGAAAATAGACGAGAGGTTAGTCCACTTATTAGGTTGTATATAAAGTTTAAATAAATTACTCCATGAAAAGTTATAAATGATCCCATATACCATGAAAATAAATTTAGCATATATATATAAAAATTTAGAGTGTGGTTATGTATTTTTAAACAAAACTAAATAAGCTAAATAGTGTATATATATATATATATATATATATATATATATATATATATTTATCGAAAAATTGTGTCTTTTCGTAGAGGTTAACCCACATATTTCAAGATAAATTATAAAATATTCAATTTTTGTTTTAATGCATAAATACATCATGCAATGGTATAGTATGAATATTAAATGTGTTTAAGACCTTAGGTGTTCCCATTTCTCTAGAAAATAAATGTTTTATAGGGGTTAGTACACTAATTAGATCGTATATGAAATTTAAAAACATTATTCGTTGGAAAATTAAAAATGATGCCCCTGCATCATGAATATATGTTTAGAATACATTTTTTATGACATCAACAAAAAAGTTTAGAATACATTAATATGCATTAAATTGTTGATAGTTATTTTTTAAAATACATTAATGAGCCTAAACTTTAGTATATATATAACATTTACTTGATAAACTCATTTTTCGTAAGATAAATTAGAAAATATGAAATATTGTTTTAATGCATAATTTCATCATGCAGTGGCATGTGATGAAAGTTAAAGAGGTCTGAGACTTTATTTGTTCTTCTATAAAAGTTACATTTATTATAGGGGTTTAGTCCACATAATTAGGTGGAATGTGAAATTTTATTAAATTACTTATTAAAATATTAGAAATGATACCCATGTACCATGAAAACAAATTTAATGTACATTAATAAAAATGTATAATGTGATTAGATGTTTTTTAATCAGAATAAAATAGCTTAAACTTTAGTAAATACCATGTATCGGAAAACTCCATATTTTTGTAGGGGTAACCTATAGTTAAATTAAAAAATATATTATGTTGTTTTAATTCATAATTTCATCATGCAGGGACATGTGATGAAAAATAAAGAGGTCTGAGATTTATTTGTCCATGTTTCTATAAAAATATACATTTGTTATAAGGGTTAGTCCACATATTAGAGTAGAATATGAAGTTTTATCAAATTACTCATTAAAATATTAAAATAATGTCTATGTACCATGAAAATAAGTTTAACATACATTAATAAAAATGTATAGTATGATTAGATATTTTTAATCAACATAGAATAACTTAACTTCAATAAATATCATTTATTGGAAAACTTGATATTTTGTAGGGATTAATCCACAGATTTCAAAAATAAGAAAATATGGTATTTTTCTTTTAATGCATAGATACATCCAGCACAGATATAGAATAAAATATTAAGGATGTCTGACACCTTTGTGGTCTTATTTTTTCTAGAATATAGAGATTTCATAGGGTTTAGTTATATGGTTAATGTGGTATATGAAGTTTTATTAAATTATTCGTTTGAAAATTATAACTGATACCCATGTACCTTGAAAATAAATTTAGGATACATTAGTATAAATTTTAATGTGGTTAGATATTTTAAACGGCACTCAAGAGGCTAAACTTAAGTACAAATAGCATTTATCCAAAAACTTAGACTTTTTCGTAGGGGTTAACCCAAAGATTGCAAAATAAATTAAAAAAATGAAATTTTTGTATTTATGCATAACTACATTCAACATTGATATAAGCTTAATATTAAAGAGTTGTTATACCTTAGTTGTCAAAATTTATAGAAAATTGAGATTCTATATGGTTTAGTTCATTAATTTTGGTTGTATATATATTTTTATTAAACTCTTCGGTTGAAAATTAAGACTGATGCCCTTGTAACATGAACATAAATTTAGTACATTAATATAAATTTTAATGTGAATAGGTATCTTTAAATAAAACTAAGGAGGCTTATATATAACGTTTATCGGAAAACTCAATTATTTTTAGGGATTAGCTCACATATTTCAAAATAAATTAGAAATATTCATGCTTATTTTAATCAAATTTATCTTGGATTTTAGGTAAATAGACATTTATAATTTATAGTTAATTAATATAGACTTAGAGTTTAAAATATATAATTAAATATTTAAAAATAATTTCAAAAAGAAAATTTGAGAAAAGAATTTGAAATGGTATAATTCAAATATTATAATTTTTTATTTATTTATTTAACTAATTATTTATATATATATATACTATAAAATAAGTGTATAAATGTATTTTGTCTCCTTAATGAAACCATACTTAGAATTCTTTAAAGTATTTTGTTAGAGAATGTAAACACTAATTGTAGTATCAAATATAATGTAAAATTGAAATCCCCCCATATATCATAGCCATCATATTGCTATGCTTACTTTGTGAATTATTAATTTTGTTATGGGTATTTCTAATTTCGCGTACTAATACATGGGCCGGTTTAATGCGGAAACAATCCCCACTGTGAGTCTCTGAAACTATTAACCAAAATTGCTAATTATAAGAAATGAATGAAATCATAAAATACAGTAGAACATCTATAAATTAATATTTGATAAATTAATATACATTAAATATTTTTATAAACTAATATAATTTTATAGTCCCAAATTGAGTTTTTGGTTTGTTTTGTATATCAATAAATTAATATTTTTTTAAATTAATAAAAAAAATAAAATTTTGGTGTAGTTTCAACATTATTAATTTATAAAGGTTGAAACCATACAAAACATAAATAACATGAGAAGAAAAAGAGAAAGTATACAATAAAATTGTAAATAAAAAAAAAATACTTAACAACCGATTACCAACAAAAAACTAGAAATTTCTGATGTGGTTTGTTGTGTGGACGATGTGCATATGTAGACATCATCTACTTTAGAAAACAGAGTATAACCAATTCGAGTTTAATTTGTACTCATCACAACTGTAATTGGAGAAAAAAACATTAGAGCTTTAAGAGTGAAGAACCTTATAATGAAGGTTTCTCTGTCACCATGCAAATAGGTTATTATCTAATCCATAAGTCAGCATCTTATGATATTGACACTGAAAACCTGCAGTACGATAATTGTTAGGTTATTTTACTTAATTTATAAATTCGTAGAAGTTTTTGTCAAATAATACGAAGTTTAAGTTTTTAATTGTTTATTTAGATAATTAAAAAAATTCATAAATAAGATAATTGTCTCAATTAGTTTTTCTCTAGTATTTAGCATTCTTGAGTGTTAAATTTGAGATGTTTTGCTGCATCGTTAAATTGATATCTATTTGTTATACAATTTTACAAACAATTGTTTTTTTTTTTGAACTCTTATAGCTGATTTTATTATATTTTATAAATGATTAGTAAGGCTTTATAAATGACTTTATATGCCTTTATAATCTCTTCTATATTGTTTATGAAATTTTATAATCAATTTACAATATTTTATAAATAATTTATATACGCTTATCATTTTTAGTAATTTCAAAAAGCCTTATAAGTTTTTTATAAACTATTTTAGAAGTTTGTAGTGATAAAACTTCCCAAATATAGATTTTAACCATTATCCATCTAAAATAAACATAATTATATGTTAAATGTTTGTAAGTTGAGAGTTTCAAACATTTAAATATTAGTTAAAAGGTTTTTTTCTTCTGATTTGAAAATAGTCTAGGAGTTGTATCATTAAAAACCTTTAAATATAGTGTATTATCAAATCTATCAGATTTTACAAATGAGTTCTTCTATCCATTAGTCATTAAGTTTGGTGAAACATTTGTTTTAGCCTCCAGAAATTTAGAAGTTAATATATATATAATTTTACAACTCTAAATTGTAAAAAGAAAACTTTATTAAAACCTATCTTAAAATCATTGTGATTTATGATTCTATAAATCTTATGATCGTTCTCGCATTCAGTTGCCACAGTTACATAGTTAAGATTTGAATAAGACCTCAGGTTGATGAATGATAATACAGTTGATATTTGGTAACGCTGAATTTTTGTTGCTTTCTATCTATTCGTACAAACCTTTTCATTTTCTCAAAATATCATAATAATCGTTTGTGCCACGCCGTACCATGCCTTGACAACTTTAAAATGCACAATGAAAATAAATCTTTAACAAGATAGATTAAGCTCATAAGAGCTTTATTGAAAAGGAAAACAGTTCATACAGATTTATATAAATTAAAGAACAATAGTATATGATATATTGCTTTCACGCATTTATGACACAGTAAAAGAAAAAAATACCAATACATTATTCATCAAAGATCATCACAAAGACATACGAATCTTTGTTCTTTAAACGCACTGAATCTAGTGACAACGTACGTATACGTCTTGACATTGTAAAGTCCATCATTACATATACACTTTCAAGAGAATAGCTAAAACATATATCAGTATTAATAATGAGTAATTAAGTCACCAAAACATGCTGATATATATATATAATTTTAACCATTAATTATCCCTTCATATATAGATAATCCTACTCATTCGNAAACGCACTGAATCTAGTGACAACGTACGTATACGTCTTGACATTGTAAAGTCCATCATTACATATACACTTTCAAGAGAATAGCTAAAACATATATCAGTATTAATAATGAGTAATTAAGTCACCAAAACATGCTGATATATATATATAATTTTAACCATTAATTATCCCTTCATATATAGATAATCCTACTCATTCGTCGTAGGGAGTAACATCCAAGCGGGAAGAAGAGAGGTTGGTTGCGTCAACGACGATGCACCACCGTTCTCTCCCCCAACTCTTCCCACAAAGCCATCTCTGCCCATTTAATAATTAATTAAACAGAATCACTTACAGGTAGATATGTATATTACTCAACTAATCAATCTATAAGTTGAAGTATTATTGAAAGAGAGAGGAGACCTGGAGGAGGATAAACAGTATTGGGGGTGAAGAATTGAGGAATTGTTGGAGCATTGGATTAATTGTTCTTCTTGATGACCCGTTTTCTTCTCCTTCTCCTTAATCTTATCATATCATAATTTTGGCCATTGTTAACAATAATATATACTACATGAGATACATGAATGTTCTTTTTAAGTTTTATGAATATAATTCTTATGATATATTTTATACAAATATAAAAGTAACCACTGAAAGTATACGAATAGACTATGCATCTGGTTAAATATACCTAAAGATAAGAAAAGCAATAGGTAAATGTATGTTTTATCAATGTTCTAGGTCAATTAATCGAATATAGTTCTACAACTTATATTGACTCCGATATAACTATGTTTTCAGCATTGCTTTTCTTTTTAGCAACATCACTATGCTCCATCAGTTTCACTTTTTAGTTGATGTTTTAGAAATTTTTTCAGAATAAATGACATTTAAAGTATTTACGCAAAAACTCCATGTTATTTGTTGTTTGCGTTGTGCAGTTTAATTTTTAATTGGTTTAATTACCAATGGTTAATGCTACTTTTATGCAATGAAAGATCGATTAAAAGGTCAGTTGAAAAAAATTAACAATTTCATAATCTGTGTGCAAAACTCTTAATCATCACTTATTTTAAAAACAGAGAGATGTAATAAAGAACAATAAGGCTATTTAAAAAAAAATAAGCAAACGATCACCATATATTTGTGGTATTATATATACTACATTCATATATTTCCTTGCTCTCTATGTCAAAAAATATTATTGCAGGAAATTCTGGATCAAATCCCGTATTTTTTAAGCTAAAGCGTATTTTTTAAGCTAGAGATAAACCCCCGCAGCTCTGAGATTCGAACATGCCACCTCTACCTTTAGAGCAGAAGGTTTTACTAGTAGAAGTAGCAGCTCTGGTTAAATATACCTAAAGATAATATCAAGTTTTATCTTTAGGTATATTTAACCAGATGCAAAGTTTTGCTAAAATTTTCTATTGCAGTAGTATAAACTTTGTAGATAATTCCATAATAAATTAATTTAATTACAGAATATATCTATTTGCATTCTATGTTATAATATATTGTTGAAATAATATTGTACTGTAAAATTTAGTGAGAATATATTAATACTTAGGAAGTTATCTCATTCACTACTCTTTCAGTTCCACTTTAACTCAAAAGAAAACTAGGTAATTCAAAAATAAAGTTGTACTAACCTTCTTGAGAAGCGTATTATTGTGATCTTGCAAGGCCTTATCCTGATTCATTTTAAATAAAAGAAGATAAGTTATATATACAGAAATTTAATTGTTCTAATTAGGCCTGGGCATTTCGGGTATCGGTTCGGTTCGGGTATTTCGGATTTTGGATAGTTCGGGTAGGGAGTTAGAGGATCCATTTACTACTTGACCTATTTTTTTGTTTGGTTCGGTTTGGATAGTTTCGAGTTCGATTCGGTTCGGATAGTAAAATTAGGAACTAGAAAACACCTAGAAAATTTGATCCTCATTTAGTTCCAGTTAGAGTTTGGGTAAATTATCGGTTATTTAGGATAAAATATCAAAAAATTAGAAAGATTTAGATACAAATTTTGGATATATCAGATAAAATTATCCGTAGTTCGGATACTTTATAATTATTTAGTTATCTTCAACTATTTTTGGATACTTTTAATAAAATTTAAAATTAAAATTATATATTTAGTTATGTTATTTGTATATAAAATTAATATTATTATATATTCGGGTATCTTTTCGGTTATCGGTTTGGTTATTTCGGATATATAAATATAAGAACCGTTCGGATATTTGAAGATTCCGGTTCGGTTCCGATTTTGGATATTTCGGTTCAATTCCGGTTTTTTGCCTAGGCCTAGTTCTAATGATTTAATTAATTGCGTCACGTTACCTTCTTCTGGAGCGCTGATATGGATTCAAACATAGCTTGGTTCTGCAGATATCACAAATTTTTTAAAATAAGACCATCACAAAATTCACTTGAATTCATAGCCAAACTCGACTTTTGATCTTATCTTCATATGTAGCTGTGTGTATTAACGTTCTCATATTACCTTTCTTGACCTAATGCTCTTGATAGCAGTATCGAGCTGATGCTCCAAGCTTTGAAGCTCCTTTAAACTCAACGATTCAAGATCTTCCCCCATAAAATTCCTGCGAACTTTCATTTTTGTTACTACGTACTGATTATAAGTACAAGCATTGTGATTCTTATAATTACCTGTCTGATATTTATTTTATTTTTTGACTAAAGCCTATCTGATATTACGCCTAAGTTTTGTGATAAAAGAATTGTGAGGATACAAGACACAACAGAAAGTTCCTCTATTACAGTATATTATCAAGATATAATTTTTTATTCGAAGTTATGAGAAATGACGAATGATGCATTCCCTCTTAAGTTATGCGTTATGTAATATTATTTTTAATGATTTTTGCTCTAAAGGTTAAAATATATTTTTATTATTGTAATGATAGGACTACGGGAGCAAGTTCAATATATTTGAAGTTTGTGTTCAACTCAAATCTAGTTGACTTCGGACAAGTCTTGTAAAATTAATACGTTTAGTTGCGATTTGATATTGCTTCGTAATTTTAATTTAACAATATGCAATATAAGACAAAATAGTATTAAAAAGTATTTATGATATACCTTTTGTTCTTCTCAAGTACCTCAACTCTTGCCTTGAGCTTAGCATGTTCAAGAACCCAATTTTCCTACAACATTAATTGGTATATGAATACGATAGACACTAGCTACTAAAACAAAGATACATAATTGAGTGAGACTTATGAGATAAACAGCAAGAAGAAAAAACATATCTCAAAACTTACACTCTGTGAAATGTCTCGGCCAACAAGTTGTTTATCTGCGTACAAATAGCGATCATAGCGTTCTAGTATCTTTTCCATGCTAAGTTTCAGAAAATAAAATAAAAATGTACTTAGTTAACTGATCAATATACATCAGACAACAATTTCACATATTGTAATGTGTGACATTAGTATACTGACAAAGGGTCTCTAACAGTAAGAAATATAACACACAAATGTATATAAAACCTGGTTTTTGGTGACTCCACAAAACATCATAGGAAACATACGTACAGCTTCAATGTCAAGATTGGAGTTTACCTCTTGACTCAGTTATCGAAGCGAACCGTATGATGATTATATATGTATATGATCGTACAAACATTTAAACACACACAAAACGCATTTAATTACATCTGTACGAACTTATATATATGTAGAACGTTATGTTAATGTTTCAATCAACCTTTCTTCCAAATAACCGAAGTGATTTTTCGCAACGGAGCGCTCACGTTAAAAGTTAGAGCGGTTAATATCTATTTTACCCTTAATGAAATTTTTATATATAACTCATTTTATAATTAAAAACGAAATTTAAAACATAAAATTAGATATAATATGTTATTATCTTAGATAAATTAATAGGATAATTATCCACATTCATGCATATTTAAAACATAAGATATCTTATAAAATATTATATAGTTATCTGGACATAATATTTTTATTATTAAAAATAAAATGTAAGTTCTAAAATAATTTAATATTTAATATTAAGAAAAAATATAAATATATTTTATTATGTGGATGTTTTCAACACTATAATAAGCATATAGATTTTGATGAAAATTCATATAAAAATATTTTAATGTTTGATTTGGTTTTTTAAAACTATAGAAAATAATTTATAATATTATTTTAGAATTAATAAAACAAAAAAATAATAAACATTCGTATAAAAATTATCCCCGCATATGCGGGCACAACACCTAGTATATGTTATTAATTAAGTATTACAGTCGGTTACCGGCCCTGGGGGGAAGTATTACAAGCAACCGCTTCCGGCCCTCAAAAAATACTTGAAAAATTCAATCTTTTTAATAAAAAAATTATTATTATAGTATATAAACGTTCTTATAAAAATGGTCAATTTTTTGAAAATTGTTTCTGGTCTTTCCCATGTGTTACAGTAGTATATGCATACATAAGCGTACGTGCCTGCCTGTGTGCACGTGCTTACATACACCAAAAGAGACAACCAAACCGTGAGTCTGTGTACTTTTTTTTTTGGTCAAACGTGAGTCTGTGTACTAAGTGTCATAATTTTATGCTACTTTCATTTGAGTAAAGCAAGGAAAAAAATAAACATAAGCACAGCCTTTTTCATGCGTCCGTACGTAAAATCCCAAAAAACCCTAATTTCTCATTCCATTTCTTAAGGAACAAACAAATCTACTGTAGATATTTTTTCATACAAGGACAAGATTTGGAGGGTCTAGATCGAGACGTACGAATTATATATAAACAAATCAAATTGAAAATCAAGAAGGCAGATGATCGATGTGAATATATAATATACTAATATATAGTTTATGAGATAATAATTACCAAGAGTCGGTGGAATACTCGAAAAGTTTGCCTTTGGAAGAGAAGATGATTAGAGCAACCTCAGCATCGCAAAGAACAGAGATCTCATGAGCTTTCTTGAGCAAACCAGACCTTCTCTTTGAGAAAGTAACTTGCCTATTGATCTTGTTCTCTATCCTCTTCAGCTGAACCCTACCCCTTCCCATATTTCTCTCTTCAAAACCTCAAGAACAAGAGAGAGAGAAACGACAAACCCTGAAATGACCAAAGTATCTCTCTCTGGGTATCTTTTATGTTTTTTTTGTTGAATGTGATAATTTCTTTTAATGTGTGGACTTTTGTTTGGTTCGCGTGAGTCTACAAAGACGTAAGCGTGTGAACAGTGACGTTGTCACGTAGGTAATGTGGTATTGTGGTATAAATACGGTATATGATGTGAGGAAACAGATAGAAAAGCCACATAGAGTGGAAGAGACCAAACTGGAGAATATATGGAGATAAGGTGAAGGGCTGTTTGGGAAATAAACCATATGATGTATTGTCAAGTTCTCATAGGTTCTTTTCTTCTGTAATAATAACTTGTTTGTTTAGTTTTGTGCCTCCCATTGGTTTACGCTGTTTCCGTACCGTACGGTTTTTTTCTTGCCATTGCTTTTAAGGTTAAGAATAAGCAGATCAAGAACTCAAATGTTAATGTGTATTAAAGGAAAATCTGTTATTACTTATATGTTTTCACAACATATACATTAATTATTGTTCTTACAAACTTTTAATAGTACTTACTTTTATATTTATTCATATGATAATAAGGAAATTTGCTTGATATTTTACTGTTACGAAACAAAAGTGGAAGCTAGACTGAACTGAACAACCAAAAGTTTAAATACAATTAAATAAAAGTACGAAAATGTCTGTAGAGGCTTTGAGCTTTTGGACCAACATGAGTAAGTACTATAAATCATTCGATTGATGTATTCACAATTTCTCTTTTGACCGAGAAGAGTAGCCTATATATGGGAAGAGAATCTCAAACGTATGATACACTCAATGTAGGAAAACCCCCAAACAAATTTGTACCATCTTCGTATACCCCTTTAAATAATTATTAGGTATGATAATCAGATATCAGTTTAGTAAGAGTAAGACTGTAAGACCCATAAGATATGTAGACAAAAATTAAAGAAAGTTTAACGATCTTAAATGAAAAACTTGTACTAATGTATTATTGTAGTCACAATTATATCTTTAGGATTAGCAAATAGACCGACAAGAGTTATTATCAATCACTAGAACAGTAATTCCGACTGAAGGTTTAACTGTTTTTTCTTTTGTGGTGCGGGAACAGGGAACGTGGGCTGATAAGAAAGCAAACAACATTCATGTCGGTCACATGATTAATAATTTTTCATGTCTGGCCTCTGCGTGATATATATGCACACCATAAATTGATCTGAAAGGTGATGAAAACTATTTTAAGAATTGATAGTTGAGAGTTTGAAAAAAAAAAAAAAAGAATTGATAGTTGAGCGAATGCGATTGATAACTAAAATGAATATCACATTGTGAAAGAAATGATAACTAATCCAAGCAATCACCTTAATTTTTTTTTTCAGACGTATTTTTGTTTTTCTCCTTTTTTATTTGATCAGAAACCCTTAAATTTCTGTAAGTGATATTTAAGGGTGTTCGGTAAGCAATAATGCTCGGTTAAATCAAATGTATGTAAGAGTGTTATAGACTAGGGAAATTGGGCTCAATAGCCTTCAAACACTTTATAATTCAGAATCTAACCAAAAACCCTACATCATCAGTACACCGTATATATTTTCTATATAATACCCATTCTCTCCTTGCAAACAACCGGTGCAACTTGTTAGGTAAAATAAATTAAAAAAAATTACCTACAGTTCTAAACGTTACGCGTCTCTTTTTTTTTACTACCACACCTTCTTCCTCTAATAACTTCTTCTCCCTCACTTTTATCGAGAAGATGAACAGTTAGAACCATAAGTTACTCGCCCTCTCAGAAGTCTCTCTGCAATCGAGTCGACGATTTCGGTTTCTGGAAGGGGAGAAACAGTCGTCCCTTCTTAATCTGTCTCTATCACGCGGTTCCGATATCCTATTCTCAAAACCTTATTCACAATTGGGTCAAATTCCTACGCCGGCGATTTCAAGTTCGAACTCTCTTCACCTTCAGTAGATCCTTAATTCATGGTAAGCTCTGATTTTATACATGATGTGAAGCGTTCTTATTCCAAATCTTCTTCTGTCTTCTATTATTGTCCATCTCTTTTGCATGTTTCTTATTGCGGTTGTCCTTCTTCCGAATACACCTATTAGAACAGAGTATATTTTCATTGTAGTCCATGACTGACCTCTATTCTATTACTCTACTAGTATATTAGAAAATATGTTCTTACGCTGCCTATGAGTTATACTGACTTTGTGTTATACGGTGTTTGTTGTTAAACAATTGTGATATTCTATTTTAGTTATGTTCTATCTACATATGATTTAGTGAGTTTTGTTCTATTTCATGTTGCAATCGTATTATATTCTATGTTGAAGTCGTGTTCTATTCTACGTTGAACTTGGATTATATTCTATGTCGAACAAGGATTCTATTCTATCTTGGATTTACACAGTGGAACAAAGTAGCGTATATAGAGGGTCCAAAATATATAGATTGTATTTGGGTTTATAGTTCTGGGATTAGGGTTTAGATTACTAAGTAGGGGGTTAGCTTCAAGTTGAGTATTTATGCATATAACAACTAATTGCTATGGAACAAAATGCACCAGCTACACCACTTATAAAGGTTTCATACTATTGTATAAACGGTAAGATAAATTTACACATTTAAGACACAACTATTCTATTTTGTACTGTACTATTCTATATTACGAACATTTGACTTACAAGAATACATAGAATGGAACACTGTAATGAAGATAAAATACTTTAAACTTTGTTTATTCTATTATATGAACTTTTCTACTCTGTCACCCACTATGTTTTTAGAGTTCTTTTCTATATTCTAACTAACATATTTGTGTTTTGCCTTTTGATTAGCAGGTTGTCATGGATGCCTTCCAATAAGATTGTGTAAAACAGTATATGAGCCAACAGTGGAAGTCTGAGAAGTTCTTAGTCCTAGTTTACTTTCGAACCTATTTGTTAGTCTAGTAAAATGGTATATATTTGTGAAATATGCAAATATTTGTACTGATAATGTAAATAGTAATTCTACTACCTTTCGTTGTATGGATTTACACAGTGGAACAAAATTTTAAATTTCATAAAAAGACCACGGAGTGTAGTCCAAAGTGCATCCATAGTACCAAATGGAATAGCAATCTATCTAATACTTTCCATATAGAATAGTAGCGAGATGTATACTATACAATCCATATAGTATAACATGAATTACATTGTTCTTTTATATATTTGTACACTAAAGTCATTTATTATCTCCTAATTTTACATAGTAAAATTATATGCATTAAAAATGAATGAGACGTGTTTTACTTTTCTTACGTAAGTTGTTAACCCTTATAAAGAGATATAGTCCACATAAGAAGTACAACGTCATCTGTATTTTTCTATGTCACCGGGTACTTGCACTCACGAAGGGTATAACCGGCTCACTTCATCCTTAATTGTTATTTATCAAATTACGTCAAAATCATAGCCATTGACTTAATTATGTTTATGATTTTAGCTATTTGCCAAATTCTCCCTATAGACTATATAGTACCACAACTGGACCACATTTGGGTGTTGATGAGCCTTAAACATCTAAATGGATGGGTAGAACTAAATGATGGTGGCCTAGTGGCAATCTTTTCAGGTTTGGTGTGTACCACATTAATTTTAGGTTTGATTTTTATTGGGAACTAAATTATCATTATTTGGTCGTCTGGATTTGGGTTTAGATCAAAGTGATTAACATGGTGGTCTGTAACAGATATGATCGGTCCATCTCTAGGTATTAGTCAGACGTATTCTAAACTCGAGTCAGGCAGTGTAATATGTTTTCGGGCTAGTACACTCTGTAGCACTAAATGCATTTTTTTCGAAATCGACCGGATCAGCTGATAGGATTTATCGGAAAAAATGGATGGGTAGTACCCAAACGTATTTGATTTCTCTGAATCGTTATTAACATAAGTTACTAACATAAGTTTGGTTCTCTCTTTAGTATGATTCATGTTTGTCCTGTTAGATCGAAACTTAAGATATTAATTTTTTCTCATACCTTATGTTAAGTCCACATCTCAAGACCGCATATATTATATCGCACGTTGTGTCTTGTCAAACTTATATACCAATATATAGTGAACACAAACCACATAATTTCCATTGCTAATATTTATATCGAATCATCCTTTTGTGAAATTTGAAAATTTAAACATTGATCGCTAAAGACTTGTAGTTGTACGAGCGATGTCAACTAAGGACCATTCTAAGTTCTAGCTTCACGCCTTGTCTTTATGTGTGTGTGACCACACTCAGTACATGATATTTTGTTCACATATGGTATGGTGAAATGATATTTAATAAACCAGCTCTTTTTTTCTATAAGAAGAGAGGATAGTGATGGCATACCAAAGAGATTCAATTTCAGATGATATGACTAGTACATAATAGGAGCTAATCTATCGAATTTATGTATTATCTTATCTCATACGACATGCATGTACATGATAAACTACTTCCTAGAAATCCAAGCGAAGTGGTATTAATATGCATTTGTCCAGGCCAGTTGCTAAAAGTGACGAGACAGAGCGACGGTGTCTCGCTAATTCCCAGGTTCATGAACAGTGCTTCCGGTAAGCCAATTTATAGTTTGTATATGTAATATGGACAAACAAATAAAAAAATGGTTCGTAGACTTTTCTGTTATATTTATAGACTGATACTCCCTCTTTTTACGAATATCAGATGATGTTTTAAAACGTATAGACTTTGACTTTTTATGTAACTTTTAATTTACTAAAAAGCTAATTATATATTTATAATCTGTTTTATAATTGGTTAAAATGTTTTAATATTTAATTTAGTGATATCTATACTATTATTTAAGAAGTAAATTTGATTAGTTGTCATGTTATCCATAAATTTAGGTAATTTTGTTTATTTATCATATTTTTAATATTTATATATATTTTATTTATAAATAAAACAAATTTATATGAATATATTATATTTTTAGTAAATAAGATAATTCTTGTGAATTATGTTGTTATCTTGAAATATATTTTTATATATAACACTTAAAGTTTAAATTAAGATATAAACACTATTATATTTATCTAAAACGAATCTATATTATTAATTTAATATTTAAATATAATTAAAAAGAATTTATAATAATAATTTAATATTTTATAAAATAAGATAATCATTATGGATTATGTTGTTATGTTGAAAATATATTTTCCTGATGTAAAACTTAAAATTAAGATAAAAGTATATTATTAATAATTAAATATAAATCATACTTAAATATAAATCATCAAAAAAATTATTTGAAAAGTGAATTTGTTGATTTGTCTCATTGATCCTAGGTAATTTTGATCATTTCTCAGAATTTCTATAATTTTTTTTTATTATTGATTATATAATTAAAACTAATTTATATTAATAATATGATATTTTAGGAAATAATTTAATTCTAATGTATTATGCTGTTATCTTGAAAATAATATTTTTCTATTATAAAATTTAAAATTAACATGTAAAAATCTATAAATACTTTTTAAGAAGTGAATTTGATGTTTGCTGATTTGTCATATTTTCCATGATTTTAGGTAATTTTGATAATTTATCAATTTATATAATTTATTATATATTTAAAACAAATTTATATTAGTATCAGATTCTTAGAATATAAAATACTTCTTATTTATTAGTTTGCTGTCTTAAAATATATTTTTCTATTATAGATTTAAAATTAAGATATAAAAGTTGTAATTATTCTATAAATGAAATAAATTTACACTAATAATATTATACTTTTGGAGAATATGGTAATTCTTATGTATTATGTTGTTATCTTGAAAATATATATTTATATTATATAATTTAAAAGTAAAATAGAAAAACTTATCTATTATTAATTAAATATAAATCATCACTCAAGAAAAATTATTTAAGAAGTGAATTTGCTGATTCATTAAGTTCTCAATGATTTTAGGTAATTTTAACTATATGTCATAATTTTTATAATCTTATATAGTTATTATATAGTTAAAAAATATCATATTATATTTTCAGAAAATAAAGAACTTATGCATTATATTCTTATCCTGAAAATATGTTTTTCTAATATAAAATTTGAAATTAAGATATAGATATTATAATTAAATATAAATCAAGAAAAATAGTTATAGAAATATATTCTTTTAAATATTTCTGATGTTTGAGTTTTGTCATTGATAATTATTTGATGTTTGATTTTTACTTTTCGAAAACATAAATAATAACACTATGCTGATTTTTAAATTAATGAAACATCAACTAATAAATATTTATAAGAGAATTATGCTCGCAAGTGCGGGCAAAACACCTAGTTTTAAGGTAAAAGATAACTTTCTAAATATTTTTTACTTTCACCTATATATTATATTTTCGGAAGAGATTGAGTATAAACATAAAAAATTTAACTAAAATAAATAAATAGAAAATTTTAAATTATTCTTTAGTTTTTTTTTTGAGAAAACAATTATTCTTTTGTTTCGATTTTTAAAATGTCTATGTCTTTCTTAAAGAGTCATATTTTTGAATTTATCATACCCGCTACTTTTAACGAAAAAATATACTATATATCTCAATAAGTTATTAAAGGACACTATATAACTTTCATAACTTATATACGTTGTCAACCCTTTCTCAAAAAAAAAAAAAACTTGTATATGTTGTCGAACACAAAATCTATGTCGACGACAATTATTATATAGTTTTGCCAGGAAACAACGTCCCATTTTCGAAATTAATTCTGGGATCATCAAAATTTGACACGTATTAAGAATCTAGTGGAGTTTAAAACCATTCGACAGGGGTGATTACGAATAAATCTAAAGTGTGTTACATCGACGTCAACTCATTTGTTCACACGAGAAAACCAAAGAAGATAGAATAGATATCCATGTTTAGTGTGTAAGTAGTTTATCGACCCTCCATTTTTGATTTACATACTTTAAAGTATTTCTTGATTTCTTTGCTTTTATGGAAGGTTGATGATTTTAGGGTTTAGGTGCAAATCTGGAATCGACAACGCACATAAACTTTACTAAAGCAACTTCTCACTTTGTCTTGTTTTAGTTGAGATTCTTTCTGCCACACAAGTAATCAAAGCCCCATTTGTGTGTATCTTTCTATTTTGTGTGTATCTTTACTCTTTAGTGACACTGATACATACCCAATAAGATTCCCAATCCAATAGTTATCTTTTGAAAAAGAGAGAAAAATATATGGTTATTTTCCCAAAACTTGATTGAATTTAGTTCATTACAAATTAAAATATTTTCTAAAAATATTTGGTAATAGACTACTAAACTAGCTGATTTCGTGGAGAAGGCAATGAAGAAATTTGCCATTAATCAGCTACATAACTCTTATTATCACTATTTTTTGCACGGTTTACTCCATCTTGAGTGCAAATTTATCCCCATCCATGTTGCATTGTTATTATAAGTGCTTGAAATTAACTCTTCAGAACATTAAGCAACCTATATACTTTAGCTTAATTAGAAACCTTTTTCATCTTAGTCCAATCCAACCAAGTTGAGTAGCTACACAACTTACATTCCCATTAACAAATGGCCATTTTGTTTTGCTCCACGAAATCAGCTAGTTAGGAGTCCTTGGTAGAATGACTTTTCTTTTCTGCTTGGTATTGTCTGAAGTCCGAACATCATTGTTAGTTTATGATATGTACACCATTGCATATCACATGGTAAACATAAACTAAAATATACAGTAGAACAGTGGACATAAAAAATGTATATCTGACATAGACAATGTTTATCAAAATTAAAATTATACAGACGACAAAAAAAGTTATATAATATATAAATAAAAAAATATCAAAAGATTACAATGTTTGAGTAACAAAAGAATCAAATAATGTTTATACCACTCCACAATACAATCAAACCAGCCGCCGCCTAACACTAACCGAACCGGACCGGACACAGAATCATTGTCAGTGGCAAAACCGTGAATCTTAGGTTACGTGGAAAAGAAGAAAACAAGAACAGAGAAGAGCACGAAAGAGAAGACTGAGAACTGTTGCCGGAAACCACCGTTGGGAAGAAAAGGATAAGTATCAGGAGGAGGCATGACACAGTTATCTCCATTAAAGTAAATCCTCCAAGGAAAAGCCCTTCCTTTCTCAAACGTAAACGTTTCTTGATCCTTACGGAACTTCACTCCCCATAACACAGCAGTATCATCTACAATAAAAAACACACAAAAATAATAAATCTTTATGATCACCACATGGAGAGAAGAGATGTGTGTTTTTACTTAGTCCAGCGTAAGGAGTGAGAGATTTGTAGTTGAAGCTAAAGATCTGAGTGATGTTGTCAAGATTTGGATGTTGAGCAACCATGTTCCACTGTGAGTAGTTTAACCGATAGTTAAAGTTTGTGATTGTGATCTTCACTCGCCAATACTCTTTGTAGTTCTGCTTCACATGCCAATGGACTCTTATGGGACGCAAGTGTCTTGTGCATTGCACTAATGGTGGTAAAACCGTTCCTTTCTTGGTCGCTGGTGAGACAACAGAGGCTAAGTGCGGTGTATCTGGACTGTGTCATTATTAAGTTAGATGGGCTTCCAACTTAAAACCAATTGGTGATAAGTGGATTGGTCTATCTATATTATATATCACTAAGAATCCTTTTCAACTTCCGATGTGAGACACTTTGTGTCTAATAGTCATTACCAAAACAAAGAGACAAAGTTTGAGAATTGAGACTTTGTGATTGAAAACAGAACAAGAAGAGACTTTTTACTCACTCGAGACAGGCACCAGATTCTGTTTTGTTGTTTTGGCATCCGCAAGCGCAAGTTGGACATCCAACAATGGTTTCGTTGTAGAAAGAAGATACAGAGACGCAGCAAGTGGGAGTTCTCCGAGCAAGGAACTGTGAGTATGTGCATGTAATGTTCCATATCACTGTAGAAAACAAGAGTTAGATTAAAGACAATGCTTAAAGTTAGCCCTGCAATTTCGGTTTCTCAAAAACCAAATTTTCGTTACAAAAACCGAATTTTCGGTTTTTGGTCAACCAAAATTGATCAGAATAAATCCTAACTGACAAACATTTCGTTTCGGTTATCAGTTAATTTTGGTTTTCAGTTTCAAAATCTAAATCAACCAAAATTGGTTTTTAAAATTGAAAATTCAGTTTAAATCAGTAAATCGGGTATTTCGGTTACCTGGGTTAAGTTTAATTGATTTGGTTAACATCGGTCCAGTTTTGGTATAAACCGGTTTAATTTTGGTGTAATTATTTTTAAAGAAAATCAGTTAACCATTCGGTTCCTTAAAACGAACAAAACCGGTAACCAAATTGATTTTGAAAAGTTTTCGAACCAAACGAAAAAGTGAACCGAAAACCAAAATTTCCGGTTCGGTTCAGAACCTAAGAGCATCCGCAATGGCGGATCCTTGGGGAGAATCCTTAGGAAAAAAGAAAAAGGGGTATTTCAGATTATATAAGGATATTTCAGATTTATTCTTAAAAAAAACTGACCACTCACGTACTGCCACGTGGGCAGTGGAGCCCGCGAATAAAATTAATATTTCCCTAAGGATTCTCCCTAAGGTCTTCTTATTGCGGATGGTCTAAGAGCTACTTAAAATATATGTTCTTTGTGCTACTTACTCATAGCTTGAGTGGTTCTGCGTGTATCCGGAGTAACAAGAAAACAAGAGGGTATGTTAGATTAAAGACAATGCGTAAAGTTAGCCCTGCCCATCGGTTTTCTGAAACTAAACCAAACCAAACCAAATTTTTGGTTTTTGGTTAATCGAAATTTACAAAAACAAAATCTGGATTAACCAAATAACATTTCAGTTTGGTTCGGTTAACGGTTAATTTGGTTTTCAATTTCAATATTGAATTATAAAAAAATTGAAAACTCGGTTAAAATCAGGTATTTTTGGTTACCTTGGTTAAGTTTAGTTGAGTAACTTCAGTCTAGTTTTGGTATAAACCGGCTCATTTTGGTATAAAATTTGTTAAAAAAAAAAAACTGGTTAACCATTCGGTTCTGTAAACCAAACAGAACCAGTAACCGAATTGAATTTGAAAAAAAATTGAACCAAACCAAATTCAAAACCGAAAACGAATCGAAAACCAAAATCTCCGGTTTGATTCAGAACCTAAGGGCTACTTAAAATATAAGTTCTTTGTGGTACTTACTCATAGCTTGAGTGGTTCTGCGTGTATCCGGCGTAACAAACTTAGTTGGTCTAACAACCTTAGCTGGACCACAAGTCTATCCCGGACTAGGGTCCAGGGCCCATGAGAGTGAAGTTCCTCGGCACACGGACAGTAACTTAAACTAATATCTTATACAATGGGTATTATCGCAATGTCATTTGAATAAAAGGTTAAACCTAACATCTAATGTTTTGGCCAACGGTGGTGGTTGCACGTCGTCGCTCTACGTCGGTTTCACCTCTCTGCTCAACTACAAGGGGACCAGACATGGGCCTGGTGGTGGGTTTAATGGGCCGGATGGGTTTGAACTCGGTAGACTTGGGCAAGAGATAACGGTCTGGCCGTTCTCGACTGATGATGCTACAAGTCACGTGGCTCCTTCAATACCAGCTTCTGTTTTTTCTAACTGTTAGTAATGATAGTCTCTAGTAGTGCTGCGTGCGTCTGGTTTTTCTAGTTAGGTGGTTACTTGTTTACTTGATTTGGTGCATTTATTGGAAACAACAGATCACTTATTTATCTGTTTTAACATCCATCAACGAAGGAAGAGGCAAGCTTATATGCTTTACTTACATAAGAAATGCAAGTAGGAAAGTCTGTTGATTTGAGTTAGGGAGAAGCAGCAGCAAGTAAACATATATATATGTGAATCAAATCAACTGATCATGGATGGATGGCCACCACTGTGGAGCATCCTCTTCCACATACCATTCCCAAAGGATGAGTCCGATGAGCTGAAACCAAAAAAAAGAAAAAGTTGACTCAATTAATACGACCAAAATTACATAATTTTTACCTGAACAAACATTAATATATATATATATATATATATAATTATTTAACCAGTCTTCTACATGAAGATGTGAAAGTAAAAATGATGATGTTACCTTGGGATAGTGATCTCAAAAGGGCAGTAGATTTCACGACCCTCGTTGATAGGAGGAACATGATCCTTTTTCTCATTAACGAATTTAATGATTTGGAACAAGACTTGTTGTAGTGATTGCTCAAGCTGTTTCCTACGACAACTTCTCGCCTCAGACGCATCTACAGCGTCAGTCATTTGAATATATACATATTATTATAGAGAACATGACAAAATCAAATCACTCCCTCCACCCACTCTTATGAGAATAATAATAATAAAGAAGTAAATTCATTAGTACCTCCAAGGTCCATAACCACATTAAGATTGATGAACCAGCGTTCCCAGAAGGAGCGATCAGTTTTACTAGAGTACCATGGCTGTTTGCTTTTGGCTTTATAAAACGAAACACATAACTATTTTGCCAGTGACAAAAAAAGAAAGATAATTAATAAATAAACACAAAGAATTACTAGGATGAAAATATAGAAATGGGAATTATATATATACCTGAGGCTTCTTGTTGTTGGGGTGTTTATCAATCCAGGCTATGAAATGATCAATCCTGTCATCAATCTTCTTTTCCACTTCTATTTCACCACATTGTACCTAGTGTGTGTAACACACCACCCAACAATGTCAAAAACACAAAGCATTCTACTAATCTCAATAAAAAGAGAAATAATCATTTATTAAAGCATGACAGAGAAAAGATGTAGTTACGTAAGTGATGTCAAAAAGCTCCAAATCAACATCTTTAGGACGGATAAGACCGAGTGCTCGGTGGAAGACTATGGTATGTAGAATGCCTGCCATGCCATCAATAAAATGATCTGAATCTCAAAACCTTAACATGATGAGATTTTATCAAGTAGTAGGATCATCCGATCAGCTAAACAGAGAGAGAGAGAGCTAGAACCGGTCCTGGACCAAGCCTGTTGAAACATTCGTTTCATGTCTCCAAAAATTTCGAAAAAATTTATATGTACATAGATTCCCAAAAAAAAATTTTGGCCCTAAAATTAGTTAGAAAAATTTTTTAAGTAAAATTTTGAAAAAATCGTCTAATATCCCTAAAATCTCACGACCGGCCTTGGAGAGAACAGACAGATATGAATCAAAACCTACACATATATATATACCAAAAGAAGTGATCATCAACTTACAGCGTAGAACCTCGCGTATCTCAAATGATTCCACTTCCTGCAGGAAACATATTATATCAAACACGACTGATCTAAGCTTAGCAAATAACAAGTAGAAAGGATATATATTTAGATACCAGTTCCTTCAGCTGACAAACTTCGCAATTCATATTTTGAAAACAAAAGAAAAAAACCAATCTGAGAGTAGCAGAAAACTCCGATCAGATTTTGATTTTGCCTATGATCGTCCAAACCTACAAGAAACCTTCTCTCGCCCTACCTTTGATTTTATATTAAACTGTCAAACTTTTTTACTTTGGTCAACTTTCTTTTTTTAAAAGCTCTGTTTTTGGGTATGGATCTCTTTTATTGGGCTTTACTAGGCCCACTATCTCTCAAATTTGCTCTTTTGTTTTTCTTAAAAAAAAATATATATATTTTAGCTTTTTTTTTTTTTTGAACAACTAAAACATTTTAGCTATTATTTAAATTTTCTCCTTGGAAAATTATATGATAAAAAATCATTATAGAACTTCACTCCCCATGACATAGCAGTATCATCTACAAAAGATCTAAGCCTACATCTTCCCTTGTTCCTCAAGCAACATCTCTTGTTTCCTGGCTAGATCCTGCTACTGTGGTTCTCCTTTTCATCTGAAATTCTACTTCCACTTATATCACCATTACTAACTAACTCACCTCCACTCTGTTCAGCATTTCTTTCCTTCAGCAAGTTGCTGCCATTAGAAGACACTGACGTCATCGCCCTCGGTATCTTCAGTTTCATACCGTTTGCTTCATCCAAATTCACCGGATGAGCTTCTTCCTCCTGAGATGAAGTTAGTGGTGATGGATCCACAACAATCTGAAGAACAGGCTTCTTCATTGTCTTCCTTTGACTTGGCTTTGGCACATTTGATTTACCCTAAAAACGAAATTTTGATCAAATCAAGGATGCTGCAACATAGAAATGACCAAATACAAACTTACCGTAGTGTTTCCTATGTCTGACAAAGGTTTTCTTCTTCTTTTGGTTCCTTCGTTATCATTAGTCTCATGCGCTGACTTATCAGCAAGAGCGGTTCGAAGAAGCAAAGCTCCACGTGAAGCAAGAACTTGTTGTTGTTCTTCTTTGTCCTCTTCATCCAATTCCGTGGTGAAGTTGTTCTGCTCTCCGCTTGTGAATCTGTTGGTGCATTTAACAGAGGAGCATCCACATAACGGACCACAAAATCCCTTTGCCGCTAGACATTGACATTTCGTTGTCTTGCAAGAGGAACTCCTACTGCAACTGCAACACAACGTCACTGTCTCATTTGAAGGAGTCTCTTCAAGTATCTCCTTTGCAGCCCAATTCTCCAATGCAGAGGCCTGTAAAAACAGAAGCATAGCTAAAAAGGATAAGACATCATCAACTAACAGTCTAAGACAAAACAATAGTAGAAGAAGATGTTTTCTACTAAACCTGTGCCTTCACTTGTTCCAAGAGGTCTTCTTTTTGGAACTCCAAGTGTCTAACAAAACTTCTAAACTTCACTATTTTATCTTTCAGGTCTCTTATAAGGACATCCTTTTCTCTGCAGTCCACTACTTTATCTCGAGCTAGACACCTTTTAGAATTAAAGAATGTAGAATGAGTTAAAAATCATATTCTGAAACTATCTTTTAAAAAAAGCTTTTAGTCAGCAAAGTGAGGGTTTTACCTAGCACTTGATGCCAAATTGAACAGATAGTTCATTATACTCTTGGCGTCACCTAGTGTTCGGACTTGGTTCCACCTTCCTCTACCACCAAAGACACGCTCACGTTCCTCTGCTTCAGATAATTGTGATGACATGGCAACGAGGGTGCTTGAAGAGGACGCAAGCATATTCTCCAAAGCGAAAATCCTTGAGTTTCTCGCACCAGGAGACATGGAATCACTATGAACGCTGCTTTGGTTACAGAAGACAATATGTTATGAACTGTTGTATATACTGGTTTATGCAAAATCTCTGTCTTGTCCAGATCACTCACCTGATCTTGGCGTTCTTGAGCGACTCGTTTTCTTCTTTTAGCATTGCAATTTCCTTCGCCATTGTCGCTCTCCTGAATTGTAGACAGGATTGATTTGAGACAGTTTATAGAATCAGGCCATGAAGAAGCTATGAAACACACAATAATAAATCACATACTCTTCCAATTGCCGTTCATATTCAGAACGCACTTCATGCACCCGAACAGAGACTTCAATCTCATGCTCGATTGCTTGCATTAGAGCCTGCAAATAAATAAACCATTAGAAAGTTGCATTTAGAAAAAAAAAAACACACACACACACACAATCACCAAACTCTCCATACTAACAAAGCATCGGTATCATTTATATTTGGTGGGTGTTACCTGTGTTCCTGGTCCATTAACTCCTGCATTACCTGCATATGTAGTAGAGGATATACCTGGTTAGTCATATATACCAAGAAAGAAACAAGTGATTATACTGAACTATGTTATACAAGAAATCCTCACTTAATGTCTCGCGTGAAGACGCTTTTCGAGTTTCTAAAAGCTCTTTGAGTCTTTTACTCGCCTGAAATGCCTCTTCTGTCTTTCTTTGTAAAACCTGTAAAGCGACAAGAGATTTTGAGCAGCCATGATGATAAAAAAGATTGAGAAGGTTATGAAAAGGCGCTCACCAGCTTCTGTTTTCGATTTAAAGCCACGAGTTTGTGCATCTCATAATCATTTCTCCTTCCCTCTTTTCTGAGCTGGTTAAATTTTAAAATTAACAATATAATGAATGGTTCAGTACACCAGATGTTTCTGAATAACTAAGTCTCGAGTGGTCAAGAGTCTCAAGAAGAATCAAATACTATACCTGCATGACTTCCTTCTCTCTTGAAGCCTTCCAAGCTCTGAACTGTTCTGACTCCTGCTTAATCTTTTGCTGAAGTTGAACCTGAAAAGTTCAATCGAAGTTAAGAGATACAAGCATGTACACGGTATCAAGATCGAGAGTGGAAAAAAAAGAACACCTTCTGGGACTTAATTCTCTGTACATCATCTTGCAGTTTTCTTGCTGCGTCGTCACTTTTCTGTTTTTGCCTCAAGAGTTGAGCTTGTGCATCTTGTTTCTTCTTCAACTCAGAAACCTAAAGAAACAATGCATCAAGAAAAATCATAATGTTGTATCAACCAAAAGAGGCGTTACCTGAGTTTCAAGCATGTTCAGTTTCTGAAGATACGATTCCTTCAGTTTCTGGGCACAACCATCCCCTGAAGCAGATGGTATACTAGCAAGGTTCTGTCTCAAACCTTCAATTTCTCTCTGCCAATGTATATTTCATTTTATCAAATTAAGATCCATAAACTCACATCAAATTAAAATATAAACCACAGACCACTTACCTGCAATGCTCTTTTTTCCTGTTCAAGCTCATGAACCTTTTTCTCGTAATGTTGTTTGAGAACAGACGTACCAGCAGCACTTGAATGACTCTTCATTTCAGCCTTCATGAATAAATTCAAGTTTATACACATACTATTGTTTAGGTAACAGATAAAGAAGATCAACCAAAAATAAAAACATTACCTCCTTTTCTTCAAGTCTCTTATCCAGTTCCCTAAGCTCCATGTCCAACTTTTCCTGAAGTGAGCAATGTTCAAGCTCCTTTTCTTGAAATTCACTTTCATCTGCATTCAAGGCAAATCTGCTCAAACGGAATACTTATAAAGCAAATCATATCATCTAGTTAAACCAGGAAAAGAGTTGACCAACTAATCAGAAAAGTTGTGTTTAAAAACTAAGAATTAGCATCTGAAGTACTAACCTATGACATCCATCACTTTGTCTTCACATTCCAACAACTCATTCGACGAGGGGAACAAAACGTTACTTGTGCGGGGCCCATCGTCATAAGAATCAGTATATTGGCAATTACTGAGATTCTTCAAGTTCTTGAAATGCAATAGCTCTCCTTCCAACTCTTGAATTTTTGAAACATAGTTGTTGATCAAACCAGCACCCTGGAAAGATTCATCACGTTAGCCAAAAAAAAAGATCTCTTGGTCTCAGAGAATCATTAAGAAGACCTCACCTCATTTTGGCTTGATTCAATCTCATCCAAGGATTTACCATTGCGAACAGATTCAATTGTCAATATAAGTTTATCCTTTTCAACCTACATGGATGAGAACAAAGTGTTAAGCAATAGATCCCATTAAAGCTGATACATCAAACACAATGAGAATAGAATCAAACCTGAGCATCATAAGCACGCTTTGATAAATGCTCACAGGTGACTCTCCGTTCGTTAAGTTCATTTTTAAGCTCACGGTTGCTTGCCTCAAGAAGAGATATTTTATCCTTAAGAATCTAAAATTTATAAAAGTTTATCAAAATCATGTGACATGCATTAAGTTTTTCTTAATTCAGATTGAGTACCTGTGTCTCGTCAAAAGCACTATTGTCACCTCGATAGAACAGGAGTTCTGTCTGTAACTGCTCAATTTGACTCCGCATTCTCTGCATCTGTGCGGCTCCTGGGTCTCGATTGATCTAAATAGTGCAATCAATGAAAACTTTGTAAGGTCCTACAAATTTAAATGGAGTTAGAAACATCAAACGTATTCATACCACAGCTTTGTTTTGAATGTTTCGCGCACGGTTTGCGTATTTTAACGTATTTAAAGTCTCCTCAGCATTTGTATCTGCTGGACTTACACAAGCTGTGCATCATAAAAGGCTAGATTAGTGTTAATGTTTGAATACACTCATCACTGTATCATTGTTATAAAAAGCTAATACATGTAAAAACCATACCAATCATCACTGTTTTGCTATTGCCACCAAGAGAGTCCTAAATTACAGACAACTATAGGTTAAAACACAATGATTAGTAAAACAGCCAAAAAAAAAACAAATTAACCTGAAGCAAACGAGTCAACTTGCTGTCACGGTAAGGAACATGGCCTCCTTCCTTTCTCTTTCTCTCATCTCCTAATGCGCTGATTACATTTCCAAGCGCAAACAGACCTTTGTTGATGTGAATGCCTGTTCAAACATAGAGGAAAAAAGCTTCCAGATTAATCAATCTTCTCTTATAACAAAAGAGAACAATAAGGAACATAAAGACATATGTTATATCTAGACAACCTTCTTTCAAGCGCATTCCATCGGCTCCTGTTCTTTTTGCACGCTCAGATCCCGCTAGATCAACCAAATGGAGTTTTGCACATAGTATATCTTCACCACCAACTTTCTTCTGCTCAAGAGTGATTGTGAAGATTGCATGGGACCGACTAAAAAGCAAGAGAGAAAATACATTCTTACAGACTAGATTCTTAATATGAAGGTAACATAACGAACTCTACTGAAACCACTTTAGATCATAGACACACCTTGATTGACTATTCATGTTTGTGCTGGCAGTAGCACGAGAAAGGGAGCCTTTTGCTAGGTATGAACCCATCTCCTCCTTAGTCTTGACTTGTGCCTCAGTAACACCAGCCAAAGTGATTCCTCCACCGTCAGTTTCTCTTATTTGAATAGGAGCTCTTGAGAGGGCAACGTTCTTGGCATGAGCCACACCATCATTTCTTTGGAGGGGTAGTGAATTCGAGTCGAGCAAATCAAAAACGTCTTCTTTAAAAATCTGCATTTTAATGAAAAAGTATTAGAATTCAAAGCCTATAAATAACAAGCTCAGTTAGATGCACTTACCTCAATAAAAGACACACGTATGAGAAGTTCCGTTGAGTCTTTGGTTGCCTCTGCTTTTTTAAATATGTTTTCCATTACTCTTGGTATAATACCACCGTTTGCTCCATCTCCACCGTAATTAGTACCCATCGTATACGTTTTACCTGAACCAGTCTTTCAATAACAACAAAGAAAACACAATCAAATTAAAGAATCAAAACTGAAGAACATCATGTAGCTCTAAGACTCAAACCATTTAAAACTCAAGTCAAACCTAAAGAACATCATGTAGCTTTAAAACTCAAATCAAACCCTAAAGAACGTTACGCAGCTCTAAAACTCAGTCCTTTCAAACCTCAAATCAAACCTAAAGAACGTTATGTATCTCTAAAAATCAATCCTTTTGTAAATCAAATCAAACCTAAAGAACGTTATGTAGCTCTAAAACTCAAACCTTAATCAAACCTAAAGAACATCATGTAGCTCTAATACTCAAACCTTTTCAAACTCAAATCATACCTAAAAACGCCATTTAGCTCAAAAACTCAAACGGTTTAAACTCAGATTCTAACATAAAACGTCATCTATCTCTAAAGCTCAAACCTTTTCAAACTCAAATAGAACCTAAAAAACTTCATGTAACTCTAAAACTCAAACCTTTTAAAAACTCAATATTAACCAAAAGAACATTACGTATCTCTAAAACTCAAACCTTACTCAAACCTAAAGAACATCATGTAGCTCTAAAACTCAAATCAACCTAAAATGTCATTTACCTCTAAAAAAAAATCTTTCCAAATTCAAATCAAACCTAAAGAACATCAATGCAGCTCCAAAACTCAAACCTCTTTAAACTCAAAATTAACCTAAATAAACGTCATGTAGCTCTAAAGCTCAAACCTTTTCAAACACAAATCAAACCTAAGTGAACATCAGTGTAGCTCTAAATCTCAAACCTTTTAAAACTCAAATCAACCTAAAATGTCATGTAACTCTAGAAAAAAAAACCTTTCCAAACTCAAATCAAACCTAAATGAACATCAATGCAGCTCCAAAACTCAAACCTCTTTAAACTCAAAATTAACCTAAATAAACGTCATGTAGCTCTAAAGCTCAAACCTTTTCAAACACAAATCAAACCTAAGTGAACATCAGTGTAGCTCTAAGTCTCAAACCTTTTAAAACTCAAATCAACCTAAAATGTCATGTACCTCTAAAAAAAAAACCTTTCCAAATTCAAATCAAACCTAAAGAACATCAATGTAGCTCTAAATCTCAAACCTTTTAAAACTCAAATCAACCTAAAATGTCATGTAACTTTAGAAAAAACCTTTCCAAATTCAAATCAAACCTAAAGAACATCAATGTAGCTCTAAGTTTCAAACCTTTTAAAACTCAAATCAAACCTAAAATGTCATGTAACTCTAGAAAAACTCTTTCCAAACTCAAATCAAACCTAAAGAACATCAATGTAGCTCTAAATCTCAAACCTTTTAAAACTCAAATCAACCTAAAATGTCATGTACCTCTAAAAAAAAAACCTTTCCAAATTCAAATCAAACCTAAAGAACATCAATGCAGCTCTAAATCTCAAACCTTTTTAAAACTCAAATCAAACCTAATAACATCAATGTAACTCTAAAACTCTAAAACCACCTTTTTTTATAAAAAAAAAAACATCAAATCCTAACCTGGCCGTAAGCAAGAACGGTTGCATTGTATCCACTGAATAAAGCATCCACAAGTGGAGCAACACAGTGCTCATAAATCTCCAGAGAAGGTAAGCCACCATTGCCAAATACATAATCATAAGTGAAGGTATGTGAGCCTACATGTACCTGTTCAATCCACAATTGCAAAAAAAAAAAAAAAAGTTTAACTCTTTTTTCAAAATTTTGAATCTTTAACTCAAACCCACAAAAAAAAATAGATTCTTTTTTTTTAATTCAAAAAGTTCCGATTTTTGAGTTACTTGTGGCTCATTGGGAGGAACAGTGATGCAATCGGAACAACCGTTAAGAAGCTCCGTCGTAATTAACGGCCGGATATTGACGGCGACTCTGACGCACTCTGAATCATCCATCTCTCCCGAATTAATAGAGCGGGAAACCCAGAAAAAAAAGCAACTTTTTTTATGGATCCAATCCCAGAAACAGAACCCTAGGAGAAACCCAATCAAAAGGAGATGGGTGAATTTTTTCAAGCTGGGCGGAACATAGGGGAGAGAAGGAGAGAATTCAAATTTTGAAAAAGAGTAAACGACAGACATAAATGAATATTAACACAGAAAATGACTAAAATAGCACTAATTTTTTTTTAATCATAAATATAGCATTTAAAAAGTAAAAATGACCTTAACTTTCTCTTCTTTCGATCTGATTGCGTGTTACCGGCCGACGGTGTGGGCTTCCTCAGCCACCGTCGGTCCGGCTTGTATTCCCTTCTCTCTGTTTGCATGTTTTATTTTAAGTCTCCAATTATTGGATCTAGATCTTGATTTCCAGATCCTTTGAGTTTTGGGTTGTGTCGGTGCTGGGATGTGTCGGTGCTGGGTCAGTGGTGGAGTTCTTATTCTGCTTTGTTCCTCTGTTCCGGCGTTTTCTCTGCTCCTCGGACTTCTTCAGATGATCTTTTGGACCTTGTTTCAACTTTTGTGTTTTAAGGTTTCGTTAGATCTATTCGTTGTTCTCCCGTCTCCGATTTGGCTGTGCGTTTAATGTTTCACCTATTGTGGAGGCTTTACCATGGTTGAAGGTGTTGCATGTCCTTGATCTCGATTGCACCGTGATCTCTGGTTTGGTTATCTTGGACATGGGCCTTTTGGCTCTCTTTACATCCAGTCGTGGAAGTTGATTGTTAAAAGCTATGCTCATCATCTTCCTGGGTTAGGTTTACTGCTTTTATCCTCGGTGGCTTGTGAAGTAATCTTTAAAGCAATATAATGAGGTGCGGTTCTACCCAAATAAAGTTTGACAATGGATGAGTTTCTTCTTATCCTTCTTCCCTCGGTCTTTTCTCTTGCATGGGTGTTTTTTGCTCAATTGATCTAGATTCATGTATTGTGTGTACTTAAATCTTTTGGTTTAGCTTAAAGCTCTCTTGTCTCCGGAGATTCAGTTCGTATCTGCCGGTCAATGTCTCCAAAGGAATGTTATTTCATGTTGGCTTAAATTCTAGAAGTTTTTATAACTTGCTAGCATATGATCTCAACTTGTAAGTCTTGGACTAAGTTTATGAATCAATGAATCTTTCAGTGTGAAAAAAAAAAAAAAAAGTAAAAATGACCAAAATAACATTTAATATTTTATCAAGAATAAAAATGACCAAAATAACATTTAATGTTTTATTAAAATCTTATGTTAATCAACTAAGAATTTTTTTTTTTTCTAAAATCCAGTTTATTGAACATGAAATTTATGTACAATCATTTGAAATCTTCTGTTATTCAAACAATCTATTATATTAAAAGAGAAGTCATAACTCACTTCATGTATGATATTTTAGTTTGGACCATCTTTAGAGTTTTATAAAATTTTACATAACATTATACTATAATATCTTTTTATATCTTTAATTTTTATTTGAAATACAAATAAATAGTTTTAAGAAAATTCTAACAAAATCTTTTAAAAAATTTTTAGAATCTTTTACAAACTATAGTTTCAAAAATTATTGATTAAAATTTTAATTATCATAAAATATAATTAAAATTTTAATTCATTTTTAATTTATAAAAAAAATGATGTAAAATACTTTTAACAATATCCCAAAATTTTGTTTATGTATTATGTAGGTCCAAACTTATTTAATTTTTACATAGATTTCAAATTTAGAAATAAAACAAAATATATAAATTAGTAATCTTACATAATAATGTTTTTTAAAATTGTTACAAAAATACAAATTTATAAATTTTATATTAATAATATTATAAGTCACATAAAATGATTATAAAATGGGATAGCATACATAATCAAATTATACTTATTTATTGATAAATTTTATTATATAATTTCAAATATTTTCGTATTAAAATACCCGCACGGTTGTGCGGGTCGAAATCTAGTAATTTGTTAAAATCATTATCAAATCCATTGTTATTGAAAATGTTTTAAGTATTGAGACTTTTAATGACTACAGAGGATTTTAGGGAATTTTCTTAGTTAAAAAATACAAAAAAAATTAGGGAATTTTCTTAGTTAAAAAAATACAAAAATCTAAATTTCATAGTTTTAGATAGAATTTTAATATAAAATCATAACAACTATTTTAAAATCACCCAAAAACATCTAAATTCTTTTTTAAAATTCAAATCACTCTAAATGTCTAGTTCAATACACCTCCAAAATCATTTGACATTAATATTTTAGAATTTAGAGTCTGAAGAAGAGTTGTTAAGTGCTTAAGTTTGGTATTTCATTACTGTTAAACTGTGTGCTATGAATCTTTTTCGTTCTTGTGGAGAGTTTCTTCTTGTAGGTAAAATCTTTCACAAGACTGATAATTATAGTAAGCTCTTACATAGTGTTTCAATTGTAGAGAATAAAGACACTTTTTTTATATTGTAATCTTTTGCTTTGGCAGAACTTATAGTGTTTGTGACTTGTGGAACAACCTATATAATCAGTTCGGTTCTGAAAGGAATCCATCTAGAATAGACTAAGTTCAAGTGTTTTTTTTTTATCTTTCTTAAAACATAAAACAATACATGAAATACATAAGTACAAAAAATTCTGGAGATAAATTTGCTTATGAGCTTTTTCCTTTTAGAGACTTTTCAGTGTTCTATGTTTCCTTGCTGAAGACGCAAACAATGTTCCATGTCACTGCATAAGAACAGAAACAAAGCTTTTGAGTTGAAAAAAACAATCAGAGTAACAGAATTGAATATGTTGGTAAACATACTCATGGCACTAGTCGTTCTCTTTGTGTCAGGGGTCATAAACATCGTAACGTTCTTAACGTTGTTTAGGTGCCGTGAACATGAAGTTTGTAGGCATAGAGAAATACATTAGTTTTTATAAAAATAAATGGAAAATAGAAAGTTCGTGACACTCAAAGTGAGGAGGTTCAGACGGATCTCCATCTCGAGTTTTTATATTCCTTCATTATCCCTATAACCCCATGTGAGTTTTTAATGACTTGTTTATATATATATATTAAACTAATGAAAATGGTTTAATTATGCTTATAAGGTTTCTTTGGAAAGATATACCAGAAACTTTTTTATGTGCCCTACGTAAAATAGGAAACAAGAACGTACTTATGGATAATAGCATCTGCAAGAAAAGAATTGAAAAGAAAAAGGAGTAAACAAAAGGAAGTGCATGCCTAACTTTGAAGCATGCTGGTGATGAAAATGAAGTCTATAATCATATGGACCATATATTAATTATCTCATTTAAGATAAAATTAACTCTTACCACTAAAAGATTTTAAACGTATACATTTGGAGATACACACATGTAGGTTGATGATTTGCTAATCCTCTAATAACAAGTGCAGTGAATATCCTTTTTAAATATATTTTCTCAACCGATCCATAAGAAGAAGAGATGGTGCATGCAGGTAATTAAAATAATCTTGGCTGAAAGAAGGAAAACAAAAATATAATCGCAGATCTTTGAATTCTCTTGACAAGTGTGTGCCGTAATCTCTGATCATAAAATCGTCTTTTAATGTAATGTTTTAACTAATTTTGAAAGGCAGATGTTTCAAAACCTAAAAGTGTTATTTGTTCTGCTTCTCTTGATGGGCACCAAACAAACCTCATCACATGCATGATGAAAATGTAAAAATCCCTCTTAATTAACATCTCTCAAATAAAAATAAACAAAAAGGATTATTATTAAATATATTATGACACTTTTAAAAGGAAAGAAACGCCCTAACATGTCTCGAAGATAAATCTTGGTCTCCCTCAGTGAAGAATCTACGATGCACTTCTTTCAGTAACTCAAGAGCATTCGCCAACCCACCATCCTCAGCATCCTCATCTCCCCTCTCTTCCGCGTAAGAAAACTCTTGATGTCTTGTCTTGAACAAATCTACAAGTTTCGTGACCCAAGTTTCTTTATTAATGCAACGTTTAAAATAGTTATAGTGCCTAATCTGCAGCAAGTTAGCGCGGTCATCGGGCCACCAATACGCGCTCTTATCGTCAAGAATCACAACCCCACGCTCGTCAGCCAAGACTCTATCTAGATTCTTGAACCCACTCTCGTTTTTGATGATGCGTTTTCCAAAGTAAGTTCCTTGGGGATCAAGCAAGGACAGTACCATATCATCACACGTTGACTCGTAAACATGCATCTCGAACAGCTTGTTGGCTTCACGTAGGAACACACGAGCGTAAGGTCGTAGCTTATACAAAACCTCGCCGTTTTTTGATAGCCACATGTCATCATCACACTTTGACTCGGTTAGATATTTCTCTTTTTCCGACAGTGATGAAACTGCACGAGAGTCGTAGAGGGTGTCGTGTAGATTGAGGACTAAAGTGAGTTTCTTCTCTTTTAACGACTTCTCCCAAACACGGCGTTTTATAATCCCCACATATTCTGGACGATACTTTAGACCCTTCTTGGGATAATGATAAGGTATGTAGGATTCGTGTTGAGTATTCACAGACCTTTTGCAATTAGTGCAAAATCCATCTTGAACAATATCGTGAACACAAGCCGCAGTATTGTTCCCCATATGATTTCAACTCTTACGTGAAACGAACGAACCCTAGTTTCTTTATATACCCAGTCTGATAAATTGGTTTTTTATTTTATTTAATTGAAAAACAATACGTATTTCCAAAAAATTTGATTCAATAAAAAAAAGGGAAAATTGATTAACAAAAAAAGGGGAAAATGAAATCTATAGCTTTTTTTGTTAACCAGCTAGGGAAATACGTATTGTTTTTCATGTTTCCTTTTTTTTGTTTTCAGTTAAATACATATTGATTTCATGTTTCCTTTTCAGAAAGAAAAAAGAAAACATGAAATCAATAGTTTTTTTTTCTATATTTTCAACAAAAGGGAAAATTGATTAACAAGAAAAAAAAGGAAACATGAAACATGACAAAAAGGAAACAAAAATATTTATTTCGTATTTGATATCTTTTAAATTAGAAAATAAAATCTTGTTAACTTATATTATGGTTTTAAAATAAAAATACAAAAAACTAAATAAAAGATAATAATAATTACAAAAAATGGAAAAAAAATTAACTAATTTTTTTAACACTAAACCCTAATCCTAAATCCTAAACCATTTGGTAAATCATAAACCCTTTGGATAAATTTCAAACACTAAATAAAATACATTAAGCACTAAAAATTTTAAACACTATACACTTAATCCTAACCCCTAAATCCTTGGATAAATTATAAAACCTAGGGTTTATGGTCCATCGAGCATCTACAGGCCAATTCAGTGTCTCCTCTCCATGCATGGCAGAGGCACTGGCGATTCGAGAGGCTTTGATCCACGCCTCGACATTACATTTCACCCACATCTGTCTCCGCACAGATTCTCAAGAGCTCGTCCGAGCTATCTCATCAAGGAAACGACCGACGGATATCTACGGTATCCTCTCAGACATCGACTCCTTGGCCTTCTCCAATTCCTCTCCCTTCGCATCTGTTTCTTTTGTGTTCATCCCAAGGGCCTCTAATGGACCCGCGGATCTACTTTCTAAGGCTTGTCTTGCTTCCTTGTTATTGGGCCCGAGGCCATAAACTCTTTCTTAATGAATTATCCAGTTGAACAAAAAAGATTTTAGTGCTTAACTAACATCTAGTATTTAGTACTTATGGTTTAGTATATTTGATTTAATGTTTAAAATTTATCTAAGGGTTTAAGGTTTAAGACTTAAGGTTTAGGATTTAGTAATTTTCTGACGGCGTTAAAAATATTTTTTTTTTTAAATTGTTTTTTGCAATTCTTATTATTTTTTATTTTTTTATTTTAAAAACATTATATAATGTAACAATATTTTATTTCTATTTTTGAAAGATATTAAATATAAAATAGTATGATCTTATTGTTTGGTGAACCTAAAGTGAAACCAAGAATAAATCAACAAAAAAATGATGAAATTGAAAGGCTTTTGTCGAATAGGATTTTCTCTTGTAATTAATTTACCAATTAACTCTCTACATTAATCCAAATGTACCCTTAAATATTGAATTACTATGCAGTTTTTGTCTGGATTTGTCAAGACAGATTTGAAGGATTAAACGGATTTTTTTCGGGCTAATATTTTGTGCGAAGCTTTTTCAATCAATGGGTTAAAGGTTTACCGAAGGGATTTGGATTTCAACGGTTGTATCTTTTGTTGTTTGGGTTTTCGTAAAACTAGTCGTCATAGTTCTTCACTAGTATATTGTCTTGAGTGTTTGGTAAATCCGACGGTGAAATCTTCTTAGTTTCTGATTGTCAGAATTCTTGTGAACTGAATCGTTTGGTTGCTGTCGGTTTTGAATTTTTGTATTGGTCTCTTGTTGTTGTTCTTATATTGGAGATAGCTCTTTATAGCTAGAGTCTCTCTTAACGGAGAGGACGTGGTTGTACTCACGTAGATTTATATAATGGATTATTGAGTGGATTACGGTGACCTTCTTTTGATGACCTTCTCACAAAATCATAACAAGGAAAGAACAAATACTTGTTTTGAACCATAAACATTTATAGCATCACATTCCCCTTCTGATTTTATTGTGTGGTGTGGTGTGTTAATAAAACTCATATTGATCACTTGGGGGTGTAGCTCATATGGTGGAGTGCTCGCTTCGCATGAGAGAGGCACGGGGTTCATTCCCCGCATCTCCATTTTCTGCTCTTTTATAGTTTCTAATAATGACGTCCCCGTGATGCATCTTCCTCCACCATTTTTTTTGTATACATTGATTGCGCTAAACCAAAAGTGCAAAGCATGTTTGTGAAAGCTTGTCATTAAATGAGTCATAGCTTTTGTTGAAGACTCTCGACTCTCGTCCTGGTGCTTTTATATTTCGATCTCTTACGCTATTACTTATTCAAAGCCCAGTGATGTCATATCAACTAAGACGAGAATAATGCATCCGGCCCAGATTATCCTCTAAAGTTTTGTGGGATCCCATCAGTTACTGGATTGGTAGGATAGGCTTTGCATCTCATACAAAGAGATAATCCTTTTTGGATTACAATGATCTTTATCTTTTTGAATTTTCTTAGTAGAATGTTTTATAAACCAAACTTAAGAGATGATGCAGAAAATTAGTGTGTATCAAGCTGATGTCTCGACAATTAAACCACAACATAGACTTGTAGACTCCCTGAAAATGACGCAAATCCAATTAATGAGTTCTAGTTAAGAAAAAAATGTAAGAAAATATCCGTGACACTCAAAGTGAGGAGGTTCAGATCAGATGGATCTCCATCTCGAGTTTTATATTCCTTGAGAGGAGAAAACTGTTTATATGTATATATATATGTGTGTGTGTGTATATATAAACTAATGAAAATGGTTTATGCTTATAATAAGGTTTCTTTGGAAAGATATGCCAGAAACTTTTTTTGTGAGGCCTACGTAAAATAGGAAACAAGAACGTACTATAGATAATAGCATCTGCAAGAAAAGAATTGAAAAGCAAAAGGAGTAAAGAAAAGGAAGTGCATGCCTGAGTGAGTGAATTATGTGAAAATGAAATGAAGTGGACCTGTTTTATTTTTTCTTACTCTCTTAACTTTGAAGCATGCTGGTGATGAAAATGAAGTCTATAATCATATGGACCATATATTAATTATCCCATTTAAGATAAATTATCTCTTACCACTAAAAGATTTAAAACGGATATATTCTCTTGAGCAACGTATACATGTAATCTTGGATATACATGTAGGCTGATGAATACCCTTTTAAGTGTTATATGAATATTTTCTCAACCGATCCATAAGAAGAGATGTGCTGCTAGTAATTAGTAGAATCTTGGTTGATAGATGGAAAACAAAAATATAATGGCATATCTTTGAATTCTCTTGACAGGTGTGTGCCCATCTGTATCTAAACACATGATTTATTAAAAGGACCACCCAAAAAGAAAATAAGTTGTGTTTTCAAAATCAATAATTTACAAATGGGGATTAATTAATGGACCTACAACTTAGAGAACTAAAATTGAAAAATAGGGATCAGTGCTTGACTGCAACTCAGTTGCTATCTTAACTGCTTCTCTTCTTTCACTTTCCTTCTCTGACTCCTCCAATCCCAATACTCACCATCATCTACTTCTCCTTTTCCTTTTACATATTTATTTATTTATCTGATTTTGGTGGTATTATGACCAAGAACTTGAGGTTATATTATATCATGGATTGTTCAGTGAAATAAGACCTACCAAGCTAGGGCTTGGCATGCATTATATACTGCAAACATTATGAAGTACAGTAACTTACATATACTTACAATTTTGTATCTATGTGTATACTCGTAGTTGTCAAGAAAATGAATGATGGTGGAGATATAATTATTGGAAAATTATTGGTGTTTTTTCTGACACATGACAAGCAACGACCCCATCAGTTTCTTCCATTTGAATTGTGCACAATATTAGGTTTCCTACATAATACCATTATATGGATATTTAGTAATATAGCAAACGATTTGTGGCAATATATATAATGTTGAAATTCGTAGTTAAAGAATAAAGATAAATAGCAAATGTGTTTATACGATTACATTCAAAAATTTACATTAGTCACTCATGTTTTAGTAACATTGTCATGCCTAATTTGGAAGATGTTTAGTAGAACTATTGTTGCTCTCATGTTTGTTGATCAACAGAGAGAATACGTATTTAGAAAAACTTGTACGAATTTAGATACATTTAAGGGGATTTGATACAAACCAATCCAACAATACGAAAATATGTAGAAGAATACGTATGCATATAACATATGTATTTATAGTACAAAATATGAGTGTTTCATGAATCTGAATCATTGTCACTACTATATATGAAGATCCGTATCATGATACGAGGTCATGAAATGATGAAACGGTCTAGTCAAAGTCGAGTTACCCTTCATCATCTGTTGCTGCGATTGGCATTGGTGCTAAAGAGCTGAAGATTCCCAGCTCCATCAACGACATGATTATGATGATGAGAAGATCCGAGGAATGAAGGATACGTCGGAAATAGAGAGCTCATTGTCGGAGGAGGAGGCAAATTGAGATTATTATTATTAGGAACATTGGATATTGCGACAGTAACGTTATTACCGGATTGGTCTAACGAGTGTTGAAGATGTCCAAGGTTGTAGTAAGAGGAAGCATTGTTGTTGTTGTAAAGATTGGTTAGAGAGAAATGTTGATGATTGGTGTTGAAACCATGATCTTGATGATTATTGTTCTCATCTTGTTTGATCCATTTCCCTTTATCAACATCAAAACTCTCTCTCGGTGTAGTATCGGTGATTCTTGATCTTGTTCTTGATCCACCAAAATCCCAACTCTCCAAGAACCCTAAATTGGTACCTAGAAACCAAGTGTCGTTACTTCAACTAGAAAAAAACATCTAAGAAAAGTTTAGAAGTCACATGATCGAATCGCGCTTGAGACGAAACTAATATTACATGTTATGGTTTCGGACCTAAGGGAATTATAAGCTTAGTACCTTGAAATGTTGATGCTGCTGAAGTTGATGATGATTCTCCGGAGTTTCCGAAAATGAAATTTGGATACATTTGGTTAAACCCTTGTGGGAATTGTAAAGGGGGAAGCTCATCGACGTCATCTTTTGCTGCTTCCAGTAACCAATCAATGACTTTGCTTGGCTGACTCAGCCCTAATCGATCTTGAAGGTCATAAACCTGAATAGCTGTTGGTACGGACAACCTTATCCTCCGGTCTCTAAGGCCACGGACTGTGCAGACTTTGCTATGTCTGTCTTTGCCACCAAACGTTCTTGAAACTCGTACGATTCTTGGATTCCTAAAAGCTGAGGTCCATTGCCTTGATGTTGGTACTGAACTTGGCTGATTTTGCGGCTGCAACATGTTTAAATTTACTTGATGATTATGATCTCTTTCTTGCTTTGTTTGAGTCTCTTCTTCATCGTATTCTCTTGATCTCATTTCCTATTAAATCACTTAACTGTGTGAAGAACAGATCTGAAACATAGAGAAGAAGAAAGTTAACTATTATAGTAGCATGTAAAAGAGAGGAAATAATAGATATATAGCTTCTAATTATGGAAGGGAATTGAGGTAAAGAGGAAATGGGATTGTTTATTTCTTTAAGTGATTGGGAGGAAAACTAATTCACATGAAAACAAAGGAAAATATTTGTGATTGATATCTTTCTTGGTATTGATGTAAGAAAATTCAAGCAAATCCATGTCACAACGTTCTTACATGGATCGAGGACTGGAAAATTTAGACTTTCTAGTTCAAGATCTAGTTTGATAGAAAAGAAGAAGAGATAAGATGGCAGAGAAGGAAAGATGTGAAGTATTTCTTTTTGGTAACTCAGATTTTTTCTGTATAAATAATAAAAGAATCTAGAGATGTATATATTTATTTTAAATACACTATAATATTCCAATCCCTAGGGTTTTATTTGGTATGAAAGGAATTTATGCACAAGGACGAAAAAGGCGCAATTTATGTAGTGTATTGATACTCTGATGGGAATCTGTCGTCTAACACTCACAGTCACATGCGAATTTATATTTAAAACTTCACAATAAAAATTAAAAATATTAGTATTTCATTCTCAGTTCTCTTTCGTGGTTAAACTTTGATTTTTATTTAACTTTCCTACACAAATTTGTAAACACCTTTGTTTTTATGTTATTAATCCTATTTTCGATTAATGTAACAACAATTTCGAGTTACGGGCCATCGGCTAAAGTTATTAGAAAGAAAACGCGAGGTTAAGAACGTTTACATTCATTTGTGGTTGAAAACATTAGGAACATGTGGTTGAATAATAGTTATGATTTAACAAGAGGTCTAAACATAAAGCAATTAACAGGGAGTAGATTAAGAGTAAAACAACGTTTAGACTGTAAAAGACTACAAAAATATGAAAAATCTATGTTAGAAATTGTTGAGTTATATTATTAGCAAATAATCTTGTTGGTTCCTGGTTGAGTTTAGTGATGCAGGAATGTAGGGTTGTTACAGATTTTATTAAATCTAAATTAATTATTGAGATTGAGGATGTATTTATTTCTAATTAAATATCTTGTGGGTTATATTTAAAATTATAAATATATGTAACAAAATATGTTATTATAGATTCATAGCCCTTTGAGATAAAGAGCAGACCAAAGACTAAAGGTTTTTCTCTAAAGAATCTAATACTTAAATTCTCACAGAGAGATTTGTGGACCACTTTTCTCTTCTATTGGTCGTTGCCATTGAGATTTTTCCAACAATCACACCATTTTTGTTTCCTCTTTGTATCCAACCTGATATACTACTATAAACTCTTCTATAATTGACCCAATGGTTGCTAGGAATGAAGAATATTTGTGTTATATATTGACATACATTGTTATCAAAATTTGCTCAGACTTTCTATGTTTGTATACATGCATATAAATACATGGACATGTTTGATACTTCTGACTTTTGGCTGAATAATGTTAATGCTCAACACAATTTTAATTTCAGTCTGCTCAAATATAAGTTCTCCATGTGCATTAATTCTAATTACCAGGTTGTTTTTCCATGTAATAATTTCTCAAGATAAATATACCTATTACCTGGTTGACAAAAAAAAAATACCTATTACCTAGCTAGGCACTAGAAGCCCTAACTCGCTCTATATTTGATTAGTTACGCCATTTTAATAATTTTTACATGCCTATCTACTTATGTTCAACATAATTGCCTTTTCGGGATTTCTCTTACCGCCGAATTCAAATTGAATATATGTTAAATAGCGAAAAGTTGGAGATGTTGAGAAGAAAAGGTCGATTGTGTGGTTGCATGCCTAGAATGTGAAAATGATGGTGGCTGGACAAAGAATGTTACTAATTAACCGTACATTACCAACAATAGAAATATGAATTAACTCGTATTAATTAAAACTCGCTAACCATATTAACCAACTAAATGACGCTGGGATAAGAAATTACAGGATTTAAATCATCCAATAACTAATTGGAACAATAATGTTGGAGACTAATAATCAACTATGTTCTATCTTTATACAACCGTAATTAGATGAGAATGTGTATATCACTAATTTATCTGACTTAGTGATATAAGTGATAACAGAAAAAAAAAAGAGATATAAGTGATAACCATATATACATGTTAATAAAATTCATTTTATGCTAGAGAATTGGACTCTTTTTTTTTTGGTTATGAGCCGTCGTTTTCGGGTCCAAACGTCATTTAGTAAATACAGAAGGCTCATGCTGAGACAAACAAAGACATGTCCTTTAAGAGACAAGACCAAAAGGAGTAAAACTACCAAAAAGTAAATTGGGTTAATTAACTACTTTAATAATACGCATATATACCTATATATATATGTATACATGCTGATGCTGACATGATGACATTTATAACTGCTCATCCTTTTGTATTATCGATGAATGATGCAGTAAAGGTATCTCCAGAATCTTCTGCACATAAGAACACTAGTGAAACTTTGTTAAAAAAAAAAAAACACTAGTGAAACTACCCGTCTTCTCTCTGTGCTTCACTGTTAGATTACAAAAACCATAGATAAGACAAAAGCACATATACAAAAATATAATAAGGTTTTTTATATGCCAAGACAAGGATTGGCTTTTATATGGATATGAGAAAGTAATGGACGTATACCCGTAACGTAGATAAATGATTAACATGATTCTATTTGTTGGTTTTTTCGTTTGTATATATTCATTTGGATTCTTATTTATTTCAGTAAGAGAAGTAGCCTCTCGAGGGATTTATTGGAGACAAAGAGGAAGATATGAACCTGCGAATAAAGAGAAAATGCAATAAGAAAGGAGTTATGGGCAAGTGAAGTGCCTTTAAAGTCTGTGTATCAATAAGCAAGGGGATTGTGGGCATACATTGCGAAAATTATTGCACGCAGATTATAGAGTACTGATTCAAGGATGGTCTTAAGATTTTGAGGTTATAGGTACAATTTAGAAAGAATATATAACTTTTTAAATAAATTTGAGATCTTATATATAAGTGAAGTTCTGGAAGAGAAAAAATGATGAGTATAAAGAGAGTTTTTGTACAGCTCAGACTTGGGAAATTATTAGAGAAAAATCTCCAAATGTCTTTTGGTGGAAAGGGGTTTGGTTTCCGGGGGCTACTCCTAAATTTTCTTTCCTGATCTGGCTTGCTGTTCTTAATAGATTGGCAACTGGTGATAGGATTCTTTTATGGAATTCTCAAGCAGTTACTACTTGCTGGCTTTGTGGTTCGGGCATGGAGACTAGAGACCACATTTTCTTTGATTGTTCTTACTCAAGGGAGGTTTGGAATGGGACGATTAAAGGCCTGGGAAATCTTCCGAATATGAATAGATGGTCTGAGATTCTTCAGATTGCGGTTAATGGGTTTCAAGGTAACACTAGTACTACTTTTTTATATCGTTACTGCTTCCAAGCGGTGGCTCATGCGATTTGGTATGAGAGAAATACTCGAAGGACTGGCGAGCCTCCTAGACCTGCTTCTGTTTTGATTTCCAAGTTGGACAAGCTGGTCAGAAATAGGATTACATCCCTGCGAAGGAAGGTTAATCACAAGCATATGGAGACTATGGGGATCTGGTTTGGAAGAGGTATTGATTGAGTGTCTTGTTTCTGGCTGGGGTTGTTTTTTGTCTTTCTTGGAGGTGCTGTGTGCTGTCTTGTCGCAGGCTGTGGCTGTTTTTTGGCTTCTTGGAGTTGCTGTTTTCTGCAGGAGTGGTTTGGTTTTTGCTTGGGGATGTCATCGTGGTTTGGAGGGGTTGGAGAAGTTGACAGATTTACCTCCCTTCAAAGAAAGAACAAGAAGAAATATGAGAAGGCGATGCAGTCTTGGTTTGGGAGATAGTTGGGTCTTTTCTGAGCTTTGGCCTCGAGTGTGTTTTGCGTATTTTTCGGCTATGGTTTTCTCTTCTGCTGGTTGGTGGTTTGGTTTAGTCTGTTGCGGGGGTTCCTCTGCAAGAGTTTTGATAATTTGGTTGTTGTGGAGTTCTTTCTGGCTGGCTTTGGATTTTCGCGGGAGTGGACTCTTTTTGAATTTTGCTGACGGGTTTTCTTTTTCTTTGGATGGTTCTGCTGTTCTTTCCTCTTACACTCCTCTGATCTCAATCTGATTACTCTTTCCTCACTAAAGGTTTGTCCCAATTGGGTTTACTTTAGTGAGGTTTTAATGAGGATTAGGTTGGGATCATTCCATTTT